CGCAATGTGAGGGAAAACATCTCATTAGAATTGTTTTTATTTGAATGCTTCGGTCTAAAATGGAACATGGAGAAACGATAGGTACAAGTCCCTTGGTTTCTGTGAAGCACAAACACAATATGTTTTCTTCAAGATCTCAGATACCAAATGGACATTGCCATGCAAAATAGTAATTTTTCAGTCGTTTGAACACTTTAATTAATACCTACCAGCATTATATGGGCTGCAACAGCGGGAAACCCGTCAGAATAAAAGTGTTTTGGGGGTGGCCTGATCAGTGTTTTCAGTTCTATAATGTAGCAAGTGCTTTAGTGTAGATTCCTGCTCCTTTTCAGTGTGGGGCCTTGACACAGCCTGTGTAGGAAAGCCGTACGTGTCATTCTGAATGTACGTCGTCACTTTGATGAAAAGGGCAAAGGTTGACTGGTCAGGAAGTGCCTCTTTGTGTGTGGCTGAATTTCAGAACAGTGTGTGGTTCATACGGTTTTAAGCTCTGTATACACTTAACTTGCTTGAAACCTGCCCATGTTAATTAATTTCAAGAGTTCAGGATTTGAATTCTTTTTGTCAACAAGTAACCCTTTGAGTACCGAAAGTTCTTGAGTTCATTTTTTTTCTCATCTCAAAGAATCTCCTGGATCTGCACTATTCATTGCGCTAGAGGATGGGAGTGGCGAATTTCTCTATGGATACTGCAGTGATGGAGACAGATGACTTATTTAAGACTTGTAAACCACTCCTAGGGTTACCTGATTGTCTGTTGTGACAATGAAAAGGTGAAAATCCAGGGACCCGTGCAGTAACTAACAAACTATTGTATCCAAGTTTAGCCTTTTCCTGTTCCTTTCCTTGAGTGTCCTACTCTCAGGACACTGGAAAGTGCACACATACACCATGAGCTAACTTGGCCTCTGGTTTTTGACACCGCTGTGAGGAAGAACTTTGTCTCCACCCGGCCTCTGATATTGTGGAGTAATAGCAACTGGAAGCAACATGTGGGGTAGAAGCCCCAGTTTCTATCTCAGTGCAGTGTGCTTGAAATCCAAAGCACTCAGCAACTCTGACCTAGGGATTATTTTCTTAAATTGTGCAGAAGTCTCAGTTGGGCTGTCAGGAGGAGCTGGGGGTGGTGGGAGAATTGTCGACCCGCTGAAAGCCAGTCAGTTAGGTAGCGTAATTAACAGAGCTTGAGACAGCATCCTGAAACCAGACCTAAATGACCAAACAAAATCTTGTTTCTGTATTTTTGCTTTCTGATCGCTTCAGTAAAGGAACAGAATAACAGCACGACGAGAGACTAAAAGGGAGAACGGTAGATGGATGGATTGACCTATTTGCTTTTTAGTAAAAGGTTTAATTACAGTTTCTGCAATTAAGTGAGACATTTTCTTACAATAACTATAGTTGGAGACTATCTGTGTACTATATATTGGCAGATGAGTTACAAGACGACATGGGGGAATGATTAACTACTAAAGGGGTACATAGACATCGCTAGTTCAATGTATTTAAACAACCATAGGCACAAAATGTATTTTAATGTGGAATAAGTAAGGGATTAAGTTTTATATCAATAAATGAAAAGTTGTATTGAGATGAGGGATGTTTCAGAAGTGTTTTTGTTTTAAAGACCTTAATTTTGGCAGAATAGTTAATGTTGACGAAAATATTTTAGTTTTGGTGGGGTGCTTCTGGCACTAGAAAATAATTATAGTAACACGACAGCTGTGAACGTATTCAATGTGCATTTCATCCATTAAAAAAATAAACAGTGAATTTTTCAGCAAGTGGAAGGCACTTTTATTGTACCACAACATTGTGTTTAAGCAGCTGGCCTGATCTTGGATAATAAACTGGTTCAAGCTAAATTAATCCTCCTTACACAACTACACAAAGTAAATTCTCTTAACCGTTTGAGGAGAACAATAAAAGTATCAAACAAATGAGAAAAGTGTACGGTTTCAGGTTTCCTTTAGTTTTTAGAAAAAGAGCATAAACAGCTGCCCAAAAGTCTTGAGCGTGCACCATATAAAAATTAATTTAACTTAAATAAGCTAGTTATTATTTTTGTTCCTTCCCACGTCATTGGTAGCAGTTGTATTGTGAATGAATAATTTACTTTGTATATTTCTAAGTATTTGGAGGAATTTAAAAGACAAATCTGCTCCTTTCTGATCCGACATTAGAAGGATTTTGTTAATTCTCTGCACAATTGATCATATCTCATCCCAGAAGATAGAGAAACGATACTCCAAGATTATTGGTGCGCAAGGGTTAAATCACCACTGTCTATTAGCTTCCTCAATCTCATCAAAATACTGCCCCTTACTAGATATAGTTCCCAGTGCAATAGGAACATTGTTCTCTCAGCTCACTCAAGCACTAAATAATGCAGCTATAATGTATGATCTAGTATGCTCAGTGCTGGAATGGGGGTAGAGAACTGATTAAAGTAAAAAGTGATGGCTGAGAGCTTTAATCATCCTGAGGTAATCTTGTCCATCATAAAACCTCCGAGATAATGTACTGTGGCCATTAGTAAAGAAATATTTGTTTCATTTACTCTTTGTGATGCGTGCCTGTTTAAGTAGTTGAATAGAACCACTTTGGAAATTTAAATGATCGTGGGATGTGGGACTTGTCCACTCAGCAGACGATCAAAGTATGTAATTGTTATAATCTTTCCACCAATGTGCTTTAATGTTCTACTTTCAGCAACATTCCTGAAACTAAGTTTGTTCATGCTGAAGATGAGTGGGGGCACGGTTATTGGATATCCTCAAGCTGCATTTGCAGTAAATCGGTCAATCATTTCAGAGAAGAATAGTTGTATGTGCATAAACTTGGACGCCGCCTGGGGAGGGGTTGATTTTAATCTCTTAGCTTCGGTATGAACAGCGCAAATTGTAAACCCACATTACAGAAGAAAATTGAGGCAAAGTTTAGTGCAGCTGGATGAACCATTTAAAAAAGAACAAGTGCAGACATAACTTCCTGTAAAACTTCGTGTAATTTGCTATTGCTGATTGTTGAGTGGCGTTTGATGGCGCAGAATTAGTGTACTTGCTCACAGTCACCCAGTGATGTGACACAGGATTGTGGTTGTAATTCCTTAATTGGGGAGTTTTTACTCACGGTTAGATCATCTCGGAGACACAAGCGGCTGTGACAGCCCTGTAGGGAGCATAGCACAATTGGCTTTGAATTCACACTGGACTGCTCTTGCACACCTTCCAGCAACTTGATAGAGAGAGGTACTGCATTTGGAGAGGACTGAGATCAAGTTGTCCTCTTGGGAAGCAGCGATATGCAGACCCGTGCAGCATTTCATTCACAGTATCTGGAGAATAAACTAAAACTGCAGAGTTTGTGTTAACCTCATTATTAAGATATCATTACACAGGTTGCAAATTTTGCAAAACTAAAATTTTGTCACAAACAAATATAGAATTTTAAGGAGGCTGCATCCTGGGAGATCATCAACCATTCTATTTTGTTAGGACGTGCAAGAATAGAGTTCTAACAAATAACCACAACCTCGCTTCAAAACATTTAATGAACTGAGCAGTGCCCAGATGTGCAATAGTACAGTGCATTAGCCTGGTTTACACTACACATATGGTCTGAGATAATGCTCATGGGATAATAAACCATCAGGAAATACATTTGCACAAATATTCCCAAATCCATTTGCCTTTCACGTAAAAAAAAAAATCTGATTGATAAACGGTCAAAGAAAGCTTGAAACGAAGGGTTACTTTTGTGGAACAGGACAGCTGCTTAAAAGCAATCTTTTCAAAGGATTCTGTAGATTTGAACAAGTATTGATTTTATTTTAAAATATTTGTAACAAAAATATACTTGGAGGTGATTTTTAATTGGTGCTCAGTACTTGTAAGGTTAAATCTGTACTCATAATTAGGCCAAGATGTTGTATTGGACTACTTAGATTTTAAACCAGATTTACAGTAGCTTTATAATGCCACCTACTGACAATTCTAAGAATCGTCTCAACTAAATGCCATTAATAGCTCTTACGAGATCAAATAACATTTTATACTTGGACAATGGGCTGTTCATTTGTTAAGCAAAAAAATTACTGTAATTTTTAAGAAAATAGTTGTATTTAAAGTATCAAACTTGTATTGTGTTTCCCTATCGATGATCTTGATTCTTTCCTACATCACATAATAATAAATTGAGAACGTATCAGTCAGATTTAGTGTCTTGATTGCAGACTTGTTTTGAGATTAATAATAATAATCCTTGCATTTGATATAGTGCTTTTCATGTCTTCTAGATGTCTCAAAGCGCTTCACAGAATAGACTGTAAAGTGAATTGACTATATTTTTGTGGACTAAATGCAGCAGCCAACTACATACAGCAGTGTCCCACAAACAGTCAGGGATTGAAATGACCAATTTTTTTTTTTTTTTTGAGGGATTATTATCAGGCTTGTGGATTAAGGAAACATGCCCAAGGTTTCACCCTGCCGGGAATTGAACCCAAGTCTTTCGCACGCAAAGCGAGCGCTCAGTTTAAATAAATCTGATTTATCTTATAGTCAAGAGGCAACTTGACTAAAATCAAGAGTGAGAACTTAGTAGTTGTTGTTTGTATCATTGATTTTTTTTGCAGAATTCAGTGCAGTGCGCAAGCACTTTTCTGAAGTGGATACCGATTTGAGGGTGCAATTGGTAGCTATCTGAACACTCAAAGAATTGCAGAATTCACCAGGACCCCTTGCAGGCAGTGGCCAGTCTGAACGGGTCACATTTCACAAAGTGGCTGAATGAGAATGTACCAGTCCAGATCAAGAGAATATTAGAGCTGAAGAGCACTGCATAGCGATCTCACTATTGCTACAGAACAATAATAGTACTCACTGAATAGTGCTTATTCAATTAAAAAAATAATAACTATTATTGACTGTTTATTTCATTGATAACATTCACTTTCCCCAATGAAGAATATTGATGTGAAAGTTGTGTGTTTCTAGCTCAGAACATTTTGGCTAAGGATGTTGGTGACAATAGAGATCGGCCAAAGTTGGAGGAGAAGGATGTCGTGGAGCAACCTCAGATAAAAGTTCCAGTAGATTTGCCTGAGGCCAGGAAAGACAAAGAGGAGGAAGTACAGCTGGATCGTCCTGACCAAGGTACTTTAGTTATTTCCATACACAATGAGAATTCACTTTGAGTGGGATACGGAAATCTGCCGACTGCCATAGATAAGGAGTAAACAGAGTTTTTAAATAAAGTGAGCTGACATTTTATTTAAGGAACAACTGATAAACCAATCAAAAGTTTATTGTGTAAATTCAAATTCTGATTGGTGTTAAGTATATTTTGGTAATTAGAAATTGACATATTAACAAAATTGTGCGCACTTGGTCGCCTGTGACTGTGCAACATATAAAACTGTAGGATAATGCAATATCAATGTGCTTTGTCCAAACCCAGGTGAAAGGGTTTGCCTTTGTTTTAAGGTTTCTTCTTGTTTGCTACTTAAAAGCCTGCAATATATTTTATTTATTTTGCACTGCTCTCTAATTTGGTAATGATGGGGAAAAAATCCCCTCTCACATTACAACTATGTGGGACATGGAAGGAATCAAAGAGAAACAGTCTTGAACAGAGGAAACCATTTCATACTTAGATTCCAAACATTATAAATCATTACGCAGCCATTGTAAATCGTGAATAAATTATAAATGTTTAAAAAGCATTACAAGTATGATTCATATTTGCTCTTGAAAGGTTCCCCTCCCCCTTTCTTGGATTAATCGTCAGATGGGCTGATTGTGAGGACATCTGAATGTATATGCTCAAATCTTGTCCCAGCAGTTTGATAATGTTGGTTGTAATTGATCAACAGAGGTGAAATCATTTATAAAGCAACATCACTAAATGTGCTGAAATTGTTTCTAAATTAATTTTGGGGGGTGGGGGGGAAAGAGGGAACAGTAAATGTAATAAGCCCCTTGAGATGTCCTCCTGCCGTGAAAGGCGTTATGTAAATGTAAATTAGTATTGTAATCCGGGAGCCTTCCCTAAAAAGGATATATATATGAAGTTTCGCCCACAAATATACAGTTAATTCACTTTGCAGTCTATTCTGTGAAGTGCTTTGAGACATCGAGAAGATGTGAAAAGCGCTATATCAAATGCAAGGGTTGTTATTATTATAAAGTTGTTCCAGATCAAATTATTTTTCACAAAGTAGGGTAATTGTTTACCACCTTCTGAAGCATTATCCACCTTTACCGAATCAAAGCACCAGCATTTGCAGAGAACCTCTTCAACCAATTGTGCAGGTAGCCAGTGTTACACAGAACATTCTTTTTATTTCTTGGTTATCGAGAAATAATATTGAAGATGTGCCAAGGAAGATATCTTCTACAATTGTTAACCATGCAGATTGATTGTCTTAATTGCTTGTAATTTCACTGCCTGCAAAATTTATATTTTGTACCTAAAATTGAAAAGTGATTATTCACACTTGTAAAATGAGTTAGTTAATAGTTGGCTACGGTTCAAGTTTTCAGGAATTAATTTGAGGAGGTGATTAAAATTATCAGCCTGGTGATGCAGCACATTGATGTCCCAGTGCACTGCACCATAGAGATATAAGATGCAGCTTAATACTAGGGATTTCCTCATATAGAGGGAGAGAAAATTGTGGCCAATTCATTTCAGGCTCCTCTCATGCACCTTCTCAGTATTAGAATGTAATTAACAGAGGCAAGGAAGCATGTTGTTGACTGTCTTGCCTGTCTGATAGTAATGGTATCTTTTAACTAGAAGATAAAAATGCATGTTTGAAAAGCGCAGTTATTAATTTACTGATAGAAAGCTGGTTAAAGATTGTCAGTAATTCTGTTCCAGTGTTTTACTCCTGCTAAACACAAGTAACTCCTAAATGCTGCCATAAGCTGCCAAAGGGATGGTGCAGGATTTTTTTGTGATAATATTCCCCTTCCCCATTTTGTGCTCAGGGCTTGCTCACCCGGTGGGAGAGGCTCACAGACATGAACCTCCAATTCCACGTGACGAAGTCATTGTCGATGAAGGAAAGGATGGAGATGAATCAAATGAGAAGAAGGCCCCCGTAGTCACAGCCAAGCGAGAAAATTATGGCCAACCGATGGACAAAGGGGTGAACGTTAATGAAGTCGTCAAGGACGAAGTGAAAGAAAGAAAAGAAGACGATGCCGCCAAAATAAAAGAACCAAGGAAAGAGCTCGAAAGCAACCTCAAAGATGCTGAAAATGCTCCCAAGGTTGATTCTGAACACAAGGAACAACTGGTCAACAGGGAAGCATTGGTGCAGGGGCAAGGTGGGATAATTCAGCCAGGTATAGAATTGGAACCTGGAAAGTCAGAGGACGATCCCAGAAAAGTACCAGCAGAGGGTCATGACGGCATTAAAGAACACGTGAAGGATGGAGAGCATCATCTTGCAAATGGTAGGTTGAGTCTGTTAGCAGGGGAACAGTAGAATGGAAGGACGCTGAAATAGTTTAAATATTTAGATTAGTTATTCTCGTTCATTCTGTAAAACATTTAGATTGGGTAAATACAGGTAGATCTGTTACCATTGATCGTTATGTGGATTTCAAGAGAACGATTTGTGACCAAGGCTTAAATCTCAGACCAAGGATGATTTTTTTTCCTGATTCTTTGAGGAATTTTATCAGAAATCATTTCAAAATAAACTAAGGATAGATTGTTTGAAAAATGCCATGTTTGTTGCAGTGAAGGTTTTCGTCACCAGATTCAAAACAGCAGCAAGTTCAAGGCTAACATCGGGTTGCTTTTGTGTGCAGGAAGTATGGTCTTCTGTGTATGTCTTTGGGTTTATCAGCCACACACAGAGTCAAAACCAATACAACTGTCCCTTCAGTGACAGGTACAGTGATGGTCTTTGCAGTACTCCTATCTACCATAGAGTGGTGCATGCAGATTTTGTATCACATTTGTAAAGAGCAGAGCTCAAATGAGTGTGATGTCCTATCACTGAGTCATGCACTCACTTTGGATCAAAACCCTCTGGTGACAGAAAATAGGTACTGGACTTGGCTGAAATCCAAAGCTATTTTAACAGTTGAGAAAAGTATATAATTTTAACCTAATTGACCAGAATTCATCTTGCTTCACGTTGTTTAGGTAACGAGAACAATTTGGTGCGTCAGGAGAAAGATGAAGCTGCTCAGTTGCCGCATGTCCGTGATGAAAGGGACAGTGAAAATGCAGAAGCGAAGCAGGATGAGGTCCCAGCTGAAGGACTAGATGGTGAGCTGAGATTGAAGGTTACCAGAGCTGTTAAAGTGAGGCAGTTTCTTGTCCACTATCCATAATAGCCATTTTTAGGAAACCAGTCTGGATATCCCAGCCCCTGGCATAGCTACTATCTTAGGAGTGTCTCTTGATTCTCACCTGCTGCATTTATATTGCACCAGTAAAAATTAAGGTTTTCCTGAACTATTCTACATACAGGTGGTCAGGAGATGGGCTTCATTACAATCTGTTGGCTCGATTTATGCTGCGCATTGCATTAAATTGTACGGTTATAAACGCAAGATAAATGGCATTTAAGAGCATTTTGACTTGTGTGGCTTGGGATGTTTGAATTCCTTATTAAATTGTCAGAGGCCTTGATTTAAGCCTCCACACTGGGCATTACATATTGAGAAATGGCAGAGTCCAGTAAATAATTATTTGTGTAGGCTCCTAATAAGTCTCTTCGCCCACAGATGAAAATGTTCATCGAGCTCTCCCTTAAATTTTTATGGCTCATTGGGAACAATGACAATGCAGATTTGGAAGGAAAGATTGAGACATTTTACGCTGAGTTGAAATTACACCTACTTCTATTTTGTCTTTTTTCTGATGTAGAAGATGGTAACCACTTGGACCACATGGTTCTACTGAATGTGATCAAAGAACAGCAGGAACAGCAAAAGCGATTGCTGGACCAACAGGAGAAACTTTTGGCAGTCATTCAGGAACAACACAAGGAGATTCACCAGCAGAGGGCAGATGGGGAAGACGAGAAGGGTCAGCAAGGTAAGGATGATTATGAGAAAGAGAGAAAAAAAATTCCAGCAGAGTGTTCAGGACCAAAGACGATTGTTATCCACCTGCTGATCCTAGGTAAATGCTGACGTGTACAAAATATGTTTTAGTCATAAGCTTGCAAGACATTTATTTCCAGAAACCTTTTCTTTTTCTGTCATTATGTAGATCTGTGTTAGCTTTGTGTAGTGATACTATCACAGATTATGGACAGTTTTATGTGGTTCACGTTTGTCCTCTGAAAGTTCTGTACTCCTTTAATAATAATACGTAATAACAATCCTTGCATTTGATACAGTGCCTTATCACATCTTTGAGACGTCTCAAAGCACTTCACAGAATTTAAAGTGAATTGACTGTATATTTTGTGGGTGAAACTAAACCTTAACTAAAGAGTAATTCCAATAAAGACCTCAAACAGATCGCCTCTTGACCTTCACAGCTGAGAAAAATATTGGGCTTAGTGAATTTGTTCGTATTTTCTGTTAGTAGAAGATAAATAATCAGCAGGTACATAAGTTGACTTCCATAAAGTAATCTTGAAGATCCAGCACAAATTACTCATAACTATAGCCTTTGGGATGAGAGGAAAGTTGCAATTTTGATGGAAATTTGACGATGGAAAATAGAGTGGTTATAAATATTTGAGTTGGGTCATGGTAACTACCAAACTCTTGACAGAAAGCCCTTTGCTGTTTAGTATTTATAATTGACCTTGGTGAGAGATCGTATTCAGAATGTCTCATGTTTGCAGCCTGCACAACTAAATCGACTGATATGCTATAGAATTTTACATCATTCAAATGGATTTACAGAGACTTAGCACCTGAGTAACTGAAATTCCTAAGGTACATGGTTAATTAGATTAAAAGTCCTAAGGTACATGAGTAGAGAAATTGTAACAAAGATAGGCCAGCAAGGGATATTAGTCTGTAGAATGGAGCAAGGTAAACTTGACTGTGATAATTAACCAGTTATTGATGGTCAACTCAAAAGGTGTGTGAAGGTTCGAATAAAAGTCTGAGGAAGCAGTATTGATTATCCGTGAAATATTAGTTATATTGTGTTTGGCATATAACATCTAGTTGCAGTGACTACAGCTCCAAAAATAAGTTGATTTGGAAAGATATACTTAAGCACAATCAGCAAGACTTAGATTAAGAATTACAGAAGCATTTTATTCTCACTAGGAAGAGCAGATTGAAGGAGAACATGATTTCAGTGCTCTAAATTGCGAAGAGAATAAAATGTCTATAGGGAAGTTTACGATGAGCCAAGAGATGAGAGACAATTAACTAAAGATGGATAATTTCTGTCTGAACTCACCTCGTACAATGAATACTGAATAAGACTGTTGCCAGGTTCGTGGGATTGAGGGGATGGGTGAAGGTACGGAAGTTTTAAGGCTTTGATTTAATGGCAAGATATTGAATTAATCTGTTTGCGACAAACATTACTAAGTCAAAGAAGAAATGTAACGAGTCTTTCTTTAAATATTAGATATGAATGAAAACTCTATGCAGAAAGAAGAAAATCTAAATCAAAATGAAGTCAAGAACATGGAAGCTGTTAATGAACAGAAGGTAGACAAGCCTGATGCAATCAATGTTGATTCCCATGGAGACGCATCCATAGTTGGTCAGAAGTTGCCACCTGCTAACCACAACCAGAATATTCTTAAGCCTATTATTCAGGAAGTTCATGACAGTGCCCAAGAAAAGCTGTCTCATGGTCACGATGCTATCAAAAATATCGAGATTGGTGATGTTGATGTTCACAAAGTTGCACCTAAGGTTAGTGATAGAGTTAATAAAGAACCAGAAGGTGGAAGAATTGATCTGGAGCCAAATGCTGCAATACCAAGGGCTATTCCAGATGTTGCTGCCCAAGGTGGTGTTAAATTTGGATCAGAAACAGGAGTTAAAAATCCAAATGTTGCCTCAGAGAATAGGGTTGAAAGGGCTGTCCCAGAAATTGAGAATAGAAATGCCAATGTTGCCCCTGATACTATTGCAAGAGATTCTAATCTTGCTCCAGGTCAGGGACTGGGAAATTCTCGAGATGGAGTACACATTGTTACAAAGAAACCTTCAAAAGAAGAGTACATCAAAAAACATGGGTACGATAAGAATGAAAGAGACGTGAAAACCAGGAAAAGGGAACGATTGCAGGAAAGGCAGGACCCACCTGGTAAGCACATGGACGATGAAAAGATTCACAAAGCTGTCAATCCAGTTAAAACTTACAAAGACCAAAGCGAACATCTTATTGGTAATGCACAGAGATTTGGGGAAAGAAAAATTGAGGAAACTCTCGTGAATATTCCAAAAGAAGAAAGTGATTTAGATAAACACTATGTTGACCCCGAGCACAAAGAACCACAACACAAAGAAAGGAAACCGAGCCAGAAAAATGATGAATTCAAGGATCTTAAACTTGATGGAGCAGCTGATCTTCGTAGAAGGAAGAGGGACATAAGATTAAACGAAAATTATGAAGACAAAATGATCATCGACCTTAATCCCGTGCCAAACTTGAAAATGGATAATCTCCGAGGTGCACTGGAGGTCCAGTTCAATCCGGTAGCAGGTGGGTCACTCCATGTAGTTCAGGGCCGGAACATAAAGCAAGTAATAGACACAGAAAGTGACACGTGATGCATCTCAACTTCCTCTCACGTCTAATCGGAATGAATAAGGTTTACTGGAATGTCTCTTGAGATAATTTAAGTTGCCTTTGTATCTCTTGTACAGCCCATAAAGTATTGTTTTGTATTACATTCTGCCCAGGGAATTTCATAAAACCGACCAATTCAATAAGAATGTAAACAGAATCCAAATTACAGAAAAAGAAAGTCCGAATTTAGTGATCTGGTCAGACCACAAATGTTTGGATAAGGGGATTAATGATTAACTATGTGCATAACCAGGAAATTTTAAAAGAAGAAAGATCTAATGTCTTGCCTTTCTACCTATTTGGGACCAGTAATCATCTAGAAGTAATGTTGTCTTTACTGTGACTTGTGAAATTTTGAGTTCCACACAGAATGATTGTATCAAGGTCAATTTCAAACCTATTGAATGCCATTTATTAGAATTTTCTATTTCTCTCAGGGACAATATGCCCTTTCAGCTTATAAGAGTAAGCTCTCTTGTCCTAAACAGCTATTGATTTGAGCTGTTAATTGTATATTTAATAATGTAAATGGTTATCCAATTAATGCTTCATTAATTTACTTGCAATTGGTTTAATTTGTCTACCTAAACTATTACTTATTATCACTGCTGTGATTTTCAATATTTGATTTTGAACATTGAATATTTCCCACATAAAATAATTGTCTGTACACAGATTTACGCAACATGCAAAAATATAAGCCACAAGTAACAGTTTAAACATTTTAAACAATTTATAAACTTGTGTTTGGTTGAATGACTTCACCAAAATGCCAAATTTCTGAAGGCTGTGTAAGAAGGGAATACCTATAAATATCTAATACAATTTAACAGTCTGTTAACTTGTGGCTTAATTTTTTTACTCAATAGAATGCTCATCTATAGCCTTTCCATACTTAAGTCTAATTTGCATGTTGTGTAAATCATGTGCAGACAGAATTATGCCCTTAATTGTCTAATAAACCAAATAAATTGTACATTGCATAATTAAGGGAACCTGTATTTCCCTCTATGTTTCATGTGGTTTATCCAACTTGCAAATTTGACACAATTGTATTTGGGTTTTTACTTGAGGTTTTTTCTCAATGCACATTCCCAATCAAGGTGTAGGTGCTTTGAAATTCTTCAAAGGTCAATTTGCTTTACAATCTTTCAAAACTATGTAGTGCATGTAGTTTTAAAGAAATAAGTCAGTATAAGGTTCAATATACTTTTGATAGTTCACAGGCTGCTGCTGCCACCTTTGCTGCATTACTGGGCTCATGACCAGAAACAATGTTTTATCACTGAATATCAAATCCCAATATCTTCCACGGTTCAGTGATCCCAATAAGGAGTGGATGATGCAGTTGAAGATGGATGATAGAACATTGTGTTGTTTCGCCTGCACTAAAATACAGTGAAGTTAGGCTCATAATAAGATATCATTGACAGTGACTTTGTGCTAAATTTAATGGGGAAAAGTTGGTCTAATTTTTTTGAAAATGTACAATTGAGTACATTAAAGATGCAAACTTTTTTTTTAAAAAAGGAACTTTTGTTAATTTCTCAGCCTAATTTCTAGCAGCTCAGTAAAACCAACTTTTTCTGTAAATGCAGAGTTCAAAAATGTCAATATTTTTGGAAAACTGTTACCCAACCAAATGTATTAACTCTATGACCACCATCATAAAATGTCCAAATATGAGTGTTGGTTGAATTTTTCTGGAAGAAAAAACATTGTGTGCCTAACATTATTAGGTTTACAGAAGCTGGTGTCTGTGTTCAGTCACCTTCGTATAATAATTATTGTTCACCAAACCATTCTTTCTGATTTTATCTATTTTACGTTGATGCTTGTGCTTTATATATTTAAGTTTCAGCAAAATTACAAATCGATAGAACCTGCCAATGTTATAATATACTATTTTCTTAAAATTATATTCTGCACCATCTTGACAAAGAGGGCGAAAAAGGGCTGTTAGTGCACGGAAATGGTGTATATCAACTCATCCTCTGAACTTTACATGTGGAGAAGTGCCTAAGTTTCACTTGGTATCTTTGCTGAAGGCCCAGCCAAGTTGCGAGCTCACTATGTGAGTATAACTGCTTCCTTTTGCAAGTTTCACCGGACACGTTTTACTGAGGACATTTAAATCCAATTCACAAAATTGTGCCTGATTCAAGTAATTGAAATGTTTTTGCTTATTTCAATTATTTTGCAACTTTTTCTATCTTCTGATGTTTTATTCCCTGCATAATGCTGATTAGAATTAAAACAATAAAGAGGACAATGATGATAGCTTAAAAAATAGTGCAAAACTGAAGGTCAGTTCTTTAGCCTAGCCTGAATTTGGTTCCAAAGTTCAGCTGGGGTCATATTTGCCTTTCTATTTTAAACCAATTCCATCCATGTATGTTTGTGATTTTGTAACTTGCTTAGTAACCGTCCTCGGTAAAGATTTGCCATCCTAATTGAGGATAACATTTCAACATTCAAGTGAGGGGTGATTAAATTCATATCCAAAGACCTGCAAAACAAAACTGGGTGATTGTGAAAGTTGACCAAATCTTTGGCAGGTTAAGGTACGAAACAGAAAAGTGATGTCAATCGAATTAACATTCCAAATGAGTCATAGCTATCAGTGTAAGTGAAATGGAACATATCTTGAAGATATATTGTATTGTATAATTCTGTCCTCCTGTTGGAAATGATTTAACAATAAAATGCAATTGTTTCAAATATTTGGTGTATTCCAGTGCATTATTTCTTAATAAACGTATTTAAAGTTTCATATGATACCTAAAAAGAATCTTATTTTATGGAGATAATCATACAACTAAGACAGGATTGTGGAAAAATTATTCAGTGCCACCACAATCCATTTGATTTTAAATTAAATTTTACATGATGACTTAAGTGGCAGTGACAAGTTAAGCCAGGGTTGAGTTATCAGAAGTTTGCTGTGTAAGAAATGGCTAGATAAACTATAATATAATCCTTGCATCTGATATAGCATCTTATGTCTTTGAGATGTCTCAAAGTGCTTTACAAAATATACTATAAATTGTAACAAAAACAGAAGTCACTGGGAATACTCAGCAGTTCAAGCAGCATCTACGGAGAAAGGAAAGTGAGTCAACGTTTCAGGTCCACGACCCTTCGTCAGATCCTCCAATTGACCAACAACCGGGTTCCTACTTATTGCTATGTGGACAGAGATGTGTGGAGTAAGTAAACTTGGCCAATGTTTCGCCCTACCCAGGAACCGAACCCAAGTCCTCTTGCATGCGAAGCAAGACTCCAACCACTGAGCTACGGGACTCCACTCTAAAGATTAAACTATGACTCTTAACTCAAAATATAGACCTCTGGAATGTTCAGAAAATGTTTAATTGTGTAGAGAGTGTGACCGTAGAGAGTAGAAATTTAACAATTGTCTCAGCATGAAAAGCAAATCCACATTAAAGACAGTTTGGTAAAGTTTATTGCAAGCCATTAAAAAGCTATGTACACCATTTAAAATCAATCACTGTACATTGAATCTGTCCTAATTCAATGGAATAATAAGATGTTTGGAGAGTTTCTTGCACAGCACACATTTTGCAAAATTTCATTTAAGAAATGAATGAACTTTCTACTGTGCTCTCTTGGCCTGTGAGGAGAAAAATGATCAGATTTAAAACCGACAAAAGCCCAGTGCTAGTAATTACAATGTTTGCAATTCATTTTGAAACACAAACTGATTTTGAAATGATACCATAGAGTCACAACAAGCTCACGGGAAAAGATATAGCAACGGCTATTTACTGCAACAATTGCAATAATTTTTTGTTACATTAAACCGGAACTAAATTCTGATTTACCTGTGGAAAACATAGCACTGATTTTCAAGCTGACGAAGTATTTGAGAATAATGCTAATGGTCCGAATGGCGTTATCCTATTTCCTGTCATCGCAGATTATAAAATGTTGCGGTACAAGACAATGGGATGGTTGGTTGGTTGGTGGCAGACCTGACTCAATACATCGAATCAAAAACATAAGTCGCGGGGAACACTCGGCAGGTCAGGCGGCATCTGTGGAGAAAGGAAAGTGAGTTGACGGCAGTTCTGAAGAAGGGTCGTGCGGCTGAAACGCTGACTCACTTTCCTTTCTCCATAGATGCCGCCTGACCCGCTGAGTGTTCCCGGCCACTTCTGCTTTCGTTCCAGATTTCCAGCAGCATCTGCGGTATTTTGCCCTTTTTGGTCAATAACGCCGAATGATCGCTCTCTCCCTCTTCCCGATCTCCTTTAAAACCTTTACCCTTCCAACCCCCGGTCGAGACGGCGAAAACTTACAGCTTGTGTGAAGCAGTTCTTCAGGGCCTGGAACTCTGCCGCACACGCGTCCTTTTTGAGCTCCTGGCCTCTTGAGGCGGCGGCGGCCACACATCTCCCGTACAGTGCTGCCTGCGAGATCAGCAAGAGGAGATGGAAATCAGTCAGTCAGTCAGTCAGTCAACCCTGTACATGACAGCAGAGGGGAGACATGAATTACCCTGAGGACAACAAACCCACATCCTCAGCACAGGCCGCCACACACCGCGGGAAGCTCTTCATCCTGTCCCTTGTTCGCGCCCACAACTCCTTCCCGGACATTGCTGTGTATGTGTGGGTGGGGGGGTGTGGGGAGAGGGCGGCGGCGATTTAAAAGCTCTCTGTGTCCTGAGCGGATCCTCCTGCTCTGGGCGCCGCCATGTTCGCTCGTTCCCGCTCGTCACGCGGCGCCGACGACTTCCGGCGAGTCGAAGTCCCGCCCTCTCCTCCCTTCACTTCCCTTCGCTGGCTGGCGCGCTGATTGGAGGAGGCGCGTACGGCCCCGCGCTCTGATTGGTCCGAGGCGCTGTCAGTCAGAGGCCGGTGGGGTGGTGTGCGCGTGCGTGAGCGGCGGCGGTGGCGGCGGCTTCTCCTCCTCGCTGTGGTGACTGGAGGCCGCGTCATGGCAACTCTGGGGGACAGGCTGGGCTTCGTGCAGAGAGTGAGTGGCGGGGGCTTCAGGGCCCCCTCCGGGGGGGTCGCGGCCTTCGCTGTGTGCGGCGGGGGTCGGCAGTAGTGGCGGGGAGAGGCCTGGCGGGCGGGCGGAGGCCTGGGGGGGTCGGGCCTGGGGGGGGTCGAGCCTGGGGGGTGGGGCCTGGGGGGGGTCGGGCCTGGGGGGTCGGGCCTGGGGGTGCGGTACATAATAACAACAATGGCAATGGGGGGCAGAGCATTGTCAGCGATGCCGTCCTTTGGATAATAATAATCATTTGACGCAGCGCCTTTGGCACGACTTCGAGACGGTTCTCAACGCGCGCCTCTCGGGACTAGACTGCGGAGTGTAGTGACTGTGTGTTTTGTGCGGGGGTGGGGTGGGTGGGCAGAGGGGGCCAAACCGAATCTGAAACTGCCGGTGCCGTTGCCGTCCGGGCTCCAGTTGTCCGGTCGCTCCGTACACTCTGTATCGCCCCCCGACTCCTGCTCCACATTGTGCTGTTGAGAAACAAAACCAAAATTTTTTTTATTTATTAAAATTTTTTAAAGGAAGTGCTTCCCCCCCCTCCCCCCTCCCCGTGCGGTAACTCTGCTGAATGCTTTTGGTTAGAAAGGTTCCGAATCAGGTCTTTCCACACAGGTGGCGAAACGATAGCAGACCAGGGGTTTTCAGACTTGCAGGAGCGACGCACTGCACGGAGCCCGGTTTCTTTAATAATAATAATAATAATAATCCTTGCATTTGATATAGCGCTTTTCACGTCTTCTCGACGTTCCCAAAGCGCTTCACAGAATGGACTGTAAAGTGAATTGACCGTATACTTGTGGGCGAACGTGGCAGCCAATTGCGTACGGTAGCGTCTGTCCCACAGACAGTCGTGGATTGAAAATGACCAATTTATTATTGGTTTTGGAGGGTTTATTATTAGGCTGTGTGTGGAGTAAGGAAACTTGCCCAAGGTTTGGCCCTCTGCCTGGAATTGAACTCAGGTCTCTTACTTGCAAAGCGAGTGCTCTAACCACTGAGCTACAGGACTCCAGTGACCAAGCAAAAATTAATCGAGCAGGCCAGCGTTTAGTGAACATAGCATTTGCATTTTATAGTAAGGCATCTTGGTGTTAGTGTTTACTAATCCTTATATTTAGTCCAGGATCTTTCCCGTTGGGAGGATTTCCCAAAATGGGATATACTGTGAAGTGTAGTGACTGCGTGTTTTATGGGTGAACACAGCTTATGCCCCACAAACATTATGTAGCGTTTTAGGTCATCCAGATTTAAATTAGATTTCTTTCTGACAAATCCTTAAATACAGCTTTAATTTTGAAGCTGTGTTTCTGTAAGTTCTTTTTACTCGGCTTTGCCACTTGTGTGTTGTTAGCTTTTTCTGCTTTTGCACCCTACTCTTCATCATGTGTACTCTGATGTAGTGGTGTGCACAGTAAAATATTAATTGTTCAAAGTTACTTTCACCCTACATTCTTACTTTGTTTCCTTTCAGCTCCCTATGTTGATGAAAGCAACATCAGATGATGAAGTACCATGTCCTGGATACTTGTTTGAGGAGGTTGCCAGTATCCTTATCTGTTACATTCAGGTTTTCTTCTATAAACACAGTAGTGAGAGATGATTATCTGCTGTGTTTGGGATTAGCCCCTTAGGTTAGATTACAATAAAATAGCATGTATTTTTTTTTTAAAAAAGCTGGTATAAATAAAGCTTTTTTTAAAAAAACTCATCAAAAGACCAAACTACTCTAGTATATAAAAGCTCAGTTATCACCTTGTGTACCCAATAAGATCAATATAGTGTAAGGATCGGTAGGGGATATTAGTTTCTTGTTTCACCAGTATAAAAAAATATTTTTTGATGGTGCAGGTGCTTGTGGTGTTAATTCCATAACTAAGTGGAAATGCAGAAATTTCCCACGAGTCTGTGGGAAGCTGTCAGTGCCTTCTGGAGTACCTGCTTGAGCGACTGCAAAATAACTCCTGTCATGTCAAACTAAAGGTAGGTGGCACTGCTTTAACTTTACATTTTCAGGTCCCATTCGTGATCCACCATGATCACAGATTCTCAGACTTGGAAGAAGCTGACATCCAAAACATATGATTTCTAAATATGGTTACCTCTTGGTGGCATGATGGCATAGCACAATGGCCTTTTTGTGGGATGGAATGACAAGAAATACATTCTCCAAGAGAGTGCCTTCATACTGAGTTACTGACTTCAGCCAAGCCACACAAGGAGCTTCTGTACACAACCAACAACAAATTACATTTGTATAGCTCCTTTCACGTCAGGAGTTTGTCCCAAAACAGTAGGGAAACCAAGTCCAAGGGCAAATCAACCAGTCTAACGAGGTGGAGAAAATAGTTCACAAGGTGTGTTAGATTGGGTGGGGGAGGGGGAATAACAATAGTGGATTTGATTTTAAATGTGGTCTGAAGGGCATATATCAACTTACTATAGCAGACCTTAACTATTCGGATGCAAAATATTAATAATTACTGCCATTTGTTTCAGCTATAGTATTTGGCCAGATTTGAAATGAGTTATTAAAAGTTCTTTCTGTTCATTGCAATTACTGCATTGAGGATAACAACTTAAAACATTCAAGAAATGCTTGAAATAGAAATTTCTTTCCTCCTCACACAGTAACTGACAATACAGCAGTTCCCAGATTTGTATAATATGCAGTTGCCTTTGCAAATACATCTCTTAGAAAGAAAACATGTACAAACATTGCACTGTTTCTGTGAGAAAGAGAAAGCCAATAAAAGGTTGACTGAGAATGACTTTCAGTTCCTAACATACTCATTAAAATCTTGGCCATCTGACAGATGTACTGGAGCAGCAGCAGGTAAACTGAACAATTTAAAATCCTTTCTTTCTTGCAATCCCTAGACAGTCCTGTGAAATGCAAGTTTTTTTTTCCCCCCAATGAGGTCCATCAACAGTAATGAAAATAGTGCTCCATCTGTCAACGAATAATCCATCTGGAATAATTTGCCCACAACTATATGAAATATCAATGTATTCAGGTTTATTCTTCAACTTCAGTTACATGAAGGGGAAAATGAAAAGGAACAAATATACTGTTGTATTAGGAATTACATTGACCTGTTCACAGACTGTGCAGTAATATTGAATACCTATCTTTGTGTTCACTGACAGGTGCTTAAGATTTTGCGGCACATGTGTAGTCATGGATCACCTCAGTTTACTCTGGAACTTCGTAGGAATGTTACCCTCATTCAGGAAGTGACAGGTAGGAATTAAGAAAGGAAAAGGTAAAAATGTAAAATCCATTGTCAGTTTAGAAAAAACTTTCTATTGGAACTTCCCAAAGTGAAATCCATGAAAATAACTTCCAACAATACTTTATTTGCCACCTAATCTCCCTCTGCTCAAAAACCGAATAAAGAAAAATGTCTACAGGAGCCATTTTTGCTCACAATCATTTGTCTCGAAAGACCATTTAAAGTCGGCTAACTGTCTAGATTACTGAAAAGGCTATGTGTTTCTGCAATGACACCACTTACCTTCATTCTAAAAAGAACAATACCCGAGGTAATAAAGTGCTTTATAGAATAATCTATGTGATTGCAACAGGAAGTGCACTTATAATGGCAGTGTTACGTTATTCATTTCCCGAGTTGAAATGTTTTACTGAACCTTTGGTGTTTCACCTAATCAGCCCAGATTTAATTGACAATCCTGGGACTGCCACTTACAGGAGTTGGATCTGGAACCTGTCAGTTGCTGAACCCTCTCAATTACATTGTGAAGCTTTTTACAACAGTCGTGTAATACACAGTGTGGTGGTTACACCCAGTATGGTATGAGCTGTTTGTTCCAGTTCTGTTGACTCTTCTATGTCATGATATATCTGGGATGGCTTGCCAATTCTCGACAAAATTGTGAAAAGTCTTGGATGTGTGTCTTTTTTATTGATGACTTTTGAAATTACAGGGTGATAAAAAAGACTTGATATCTACTCTTATCTAAAATATATATATATCGGCATTTCTTTAATACGTATTAGTTATTGTAATGTAATGCAATTGGCTGCTGTGTTTCGCCCACAAAATATACAGTTAATTCACTTTACAGTTTAGTCTGTCTAGCGCTTTGAGACGTCTCAACATGATAAGGCGCTCTATCAAATGCAAGGATTATTATTGTCGTGACTATTTGGTCACCCTCTATATGTAACTCCAGAAGCCTCTTCTACTGGGTGACTCAGCACATTAGTGCTCTGGCACTGAACATCACACTTTCAATTTCATTATTACATTAAGCAATAAGAAGCAAGGTCCTTGCGCATAGTTATCTGCCATCTATCCACACCGAAAGGACTCAACGGCAAAAGAAAATGTCATTTCGTAGTTGCTCATTATACATTTTGCCACTCTTTAGCACAAAAGTTATTTCAAGGTTGATGGGCGGGAAAATACCTATTTTTAAAAATACATACAACGACAGGCCTGACAAATAAATACTATAATTAGGTAATGTTGGAGATGGTTTGTAACCTAAATAGATGCAAAGCTTTGAGAGGTTGGTTAGCACTTGGGACTGTTGAACAGAGTGCCTCATCCACTTGTCAGTTTAAACAGCACGCCAAATGTGCTGGAAAAACAATTTTTCCTCAGTTCCCAGTTGCATCGCATTTAGTTTTTTTAGAATAACCCCCCACCCCCCCCCCCCGGAAACATGATCAGCATTTAGCTATAACTAATGGCCTCATAAAATCAGTTACAAAAATGACACCAAAACTAGATCGCTGTTCACAGAGAGCAATTGATTTCTCGTCCATCCGAGGGTTTGGAAAATAGAAATAGAATGAACCTCTTCTAAATGTTTACAGATTTGTTCAGTTGGTTACAAAAAGCAGATTACACCGAGACATGTCTGTCTCACTTGCACAGTTTTACTGATACAAACTCTTGAACAACCGGTTCTCTGTGCTATCATCACAATCTCTCTGGCTGCCTGTTTGTGATGTAACAGAACCATCTCCAGCGCTGATGGAACATCAGACTAAGTGACGAGCTTGTGTGAAGCCACTTTGTCTTCAGTATATCTTGATAAATGGGCTTTTGCAATGATAATTTGAGTGTTTTGGTTGGTCTCATCCTTACACAACTACGCTGTATTACCATTTTCCTTGTGTGGTTGTTTATTGTGTTAAGTATTTTCAGAAAACCTAAAATAGCCATTGAAAAACAAATTCAGTCTTAATTTTATCGGGTCCTGGTCCCTGACTGTTCAGCGCCTTGGAATGTCCTCCCAACGTGAAAGGCGCTTTACAAATATAATTTTGTTGTTGTTGTTTTATGTTTTGAATTGTGGCAGAAATAGAACAAGCAATCAAAGTGAATGTGCAATAAAGGGTGATAACTCTCTTTGCCTAAAGGATGAGAAATTCAACTCTCTTTCTGTTAGTTTTCAGTGGGCCTCCAGATTTGCTTCATGGAAATGCTTTATACCAGAAAGTACGAAGAACTGCAGAGGTAAAATTTAAAGGTGATCATTTTCAACTGAGCCAAGAGCTGCGTGCTGATTTATTCTGACTGTTATTTCAAGCACTTTGTAATTCTGTGGATGAGGGTCAGTGTTGCATATTTTGAGAGTTGCAAAAAGCTAACAGAAGCCCACAAAATCATGATCAATCCCTCCCTCGTTCTCTCTTCACAGGACGTAACAGGTGCATTATTCACTGATGCTGTGCCATATCGTTCCTCTTCCTCATCTCCCCCTTCCAGGTCTCATCTGCAGCCAGGTATGTCATGTTGTAAAGAAGTTTTCTGGGTTCTGAAATCAAACCATTTTGTAACTCATCCCTCAGATCTTCACATTGAAATAATGGTTTGCCTGTATCTCTAGTCAGCTGATTTGTGGTACAGGAATGCTACCAGTCAAGATGTTCATAGTCTGGACTGTCTTAGCCATCTGGCTGGAAGAACTCTCGTGGGATGTAAATGTGTATTTGTATAAAGGGGTGAATGAGAAATCAATCTCCTAGATGCACATTTGTATAAGAGAGACAGGTTTGACTCAACTTTTGAAATCGAGATCTCCTGGGGGGTTTTCGGGAGTTGATTTCTTCTAATTTGAACTAAATTTTAAATGCTACGAAGACCCAGGTTACCTGTAAGACCATTTTGTCTTAAAATAATTGTGTAAATGATGTAAAAAATAAATAATTGGATCATGTACTCCTTGGCTGCTTGTGGAAGATGACTGTGCACAATTGGCTGCTGTGTTTTCTGCATTTTATTGATGACATTTTATTTGCCTCTAGTGAGTATGTTAGTCATCAAAAAATGTGTGCAAGTAAATGTCTGATCTCCGTTTATTTAAGGGGAATATATTCTTTGGTATCAATTAAATATCTAATTGTCTGCTGTATAGTTCATTGAATCAGTTGGATGAAGCAAATATTTAACTAGGGTGTTCCCTTTCAGATTTGCTCTGTTTACCCATAACTGCAATGCAGCTTGAAATCAAATCCGACAGCATTTACACCTGAACAATTAAAGGAATTTTGGACTTAATTTGGAAAATCATTTGTAGTATTTGTTCCGTATAGGCATGGGTTCGAGGCCTCTTTCTGGCTCCACAATGCAAGGTTTTGGGTACACAGCAGGGAAATTTGCTTCAGGTAAGTGAGGAGACATAGATATATACTTCACAGCATTTTATTCTATTGTCTGTAAATGCATTTGGCGACCCATGTATTGAAGAGTGTGTGTTTGTGGTGTGTGTTGAGGCTGGGCCAAGAAACATTTGGCGGAATTTGGGCTTAGCTTCTGCATTTATTTATTGGGCCATTTCTAGAGTTTACAGGTCCTAACCTGGTATCTGGGTATTTCAGTCTATGAAGATGCTCTTAATACTATTTCCTGGTGCTCGTACTGAAGTTTTGTACATGTAGATATTCTAGTTGCAGATCCACTTGTACCCCAAAGATATCTGTTGACAGATATGAGGTCAAGCCGCATGAGTTTAAGCTATTTCAACTTATCATGTGGACTTAAAACATACGTTCCATGGATATACAGTACACAGATTAACTATGTTCCATACACTAATTGGGCACACAGCACACATAACTACATAAATATAATTTTTCCAAGATCTGAACGTGGAACTTATGCAGCGCTGTACAATTCCAGACTGTAATGAACTGGGATTAGGGAAAATTGTGCTTGTACAGTCTAACATTTGCCTACATGTAATTAAATGTGCTGTTCTTGTGTCAGCCTGCTGCTGCCACCTGCATTGCACATGAAGATTTTACTCTGGTCTGGCTGTTGTATCAGCGTTTTCTACAATGAAAATTTCTGTCTCAATTCTCAACAGTCTCGGCCGGCGAAGCCATCATCAGTAAGATACAGAGAGCTGCAGAAGCCGTGGCCAACGCTGTGCTTCCACTTCACGAACATCCCATAAACCAGAGGAACGGTTACCATGGGGAAGGCTACCAGCCAGTATTGCCAGCTTCCTCAGAAGGGGCAGAAGTGAAACCTGTCCTTAAGAGTCCTGTTGCTGTACGCGTTGTGAAAGGTAAATCTAGTTACACAGTGATCTTGTTCATCCTCCAATTCGCACTCAGTCTATGAGACTGCTCTTAATTCTATTTCCTGGTGCTTGTGCATTTATTATAGCTCTAAAAGGCTTGTTCGAACACACAGGCCTTTCAGAGCTATAATAATAATCCTTGCATTATTATTGTTGAGATGTCTCAAAGCGCTTCATGGAATATATTGTAAAGTGGATTGACTATGTGTTTTGTGGGTGAAACAAGACCATTTGTCTTCCAGACTGTTTCTACCCAAAAATAAATTGATAAATTGTTCAATTTGAGAGTCGAGTAAATCAAAGGGTGTTGTATATCGGATTTTCCATCTGCTCTCTTCACCTTTCTACTTCTGTTTTATGCAATGCAGCATTATAAACTTAACGGTAATTGCTTCAATTTCAATCATTGTCTTCACCCCACCCTACTTGGACACTTGGACAATGACTCCTGCTGGGCTTTCAAGAAGAGAAATTAGATGCATTTAGGCCATGTACATAAGCATCTTCAACCTCTCCAATGGAAAGCTGAAAAGAATACAAGTGCTGTAATATAAGGTTCATCTGTGTCTGGGGCAAATGGACTCGCTGGGCTTTTTTGATTTGTACCGTTGTGTTTTTTTTGTTCTTTCCCAGTTGTGCACCATCAACCTGGGCTGCCAGGAGGAGGTTGGGAAGAAGGTGACAGTGGGCACAGCTCCCAGGATTCCTCGCAGACGAACTACATCTCGGATGGCAGCAACAGTAAAGTGGGTACAGACAGTCAATCCGGAGGCAGCAGAGAGAGTGGAGACTTAATGGAAAGGTAAAAATGCAACTTAAGTGTAACAAAACACAAACCAAATTCATTATAATAATAATCCTTACATTTAATATAGCGCCTTATCGTGCCTTTGAGATGCCTCAAAGCACTTCACAGAATATGCTGTAAAGTGAATTGACTGTATATTTTTGTGAGCGAAACGGATTCTTAACCTGGTTTGTAGTGAGGCCACACTTTTAACCATATCCATTTGTTTACTGGTGCACTGATCATTCTTCATCTCAGCTAACACATCTACACATTAATATTAAAGTTATAAAAAATTTAGAATTAGACAATAGATACTTTGATATCTATACAGCCCAGTTAAGTATTTTGGGAGAAACAACAATACAACTTTAATGCATTAAAGGTTTAAAGTGTGTCATGAAACTGACAGAGTTGTTTTGTTTCCTGCAGGGTGGAGGCAGTAAACCTCAGTGACTGCACAAGGGAAATCACCTTGGTGAACAGTCTGAGCCAGGGGACAACAGTCTTTCTCACCAGAGACGAAATGCAGCACTTTGTTAAAGAGTAACTATTGTGATGGCATTTTTATATAAAATTGGAAGGCTTATAGACTCTAATATTCTGAAACACAATTGTAATATCGATACTTTTATTAAGAGTCAATACTGATTTCGATATTTTACTTTGGATTTTTTTTTTAAAAAAGTGGCTCTTGTAAAGATTTACATAGAATTGACAACATGGGAAATGGGCATTTGGCCCACCTAATGCTCTGGATACAGCAACTGCAAATGTGTAAAGCTTCTGAGGACAAATTTAACATGTATGTTTGTGCTGCTGGGAACGGTACCTGTCTTATCTGTTCGGTCGGTAGTGCACTCGCCCACACCCTGAGAAAGATGTCACTAGGGATATGTTGGTTCTCAAAGTGTTCTTTCTTTATTATTAACCCAAACTGAGGTTTGCGTTAACATAAGAAATACTAGACGAAAAAAATACCAAGGTCCATTTAGTTGGCCTTCCACATTCCTGGTGGTCAAATGCACATGTGTCCCAAACTACCTATGTACTATATCTCATAATGCATTTCACCCAATCCTTTAATTGAAATGGATTTGTCTAACTTTTGTACATTTCTTTTCTGTAATTAGATGTGGATTACTCAACTGTGAAGTGGTGGTGGAGCTCCTCAATCAGAAACTAAAGGATCCCTCTGAGACTGTCAAGATGGTACTTTCTGACAGCATTTGTATTTATACGTTTAGTCAAGAAAACCCCTGTTGGCTTTACTTTTGAGAGAAGCCTGATTTTCGTTTAAATGGATCTAATTGGGCTTCATTGAATTTTTTTTTTGAACTCCAATGAGATTAAAGCTTGTTTAACCCCCTTTATTTGATTAATATCTTTGCTGGCAATTAGTATACGTCGTCAATCTGCAAGCTAATTGCAAGAGATGAGTAAATATAAGTAGTGAGAAGATATTTATTCTAATCGAATAAGAGTAACCCTCCTGCCATTTTCCATAGTTCTCTGGGCTCACAAAGTGAGAGGTTTACATCATCCTTGTGTAATTCCCTTATGTGAATCTCTTGTGGAATTTAGTTGTCAATCAACAGTCGATGCTTTTGTCAGACAGGTAATTTAACACTGTCTGTATGATCCCTGATGGATTGCACTCAGTATTGAATAATTTCAACGCTATAGAGATTGTAGTTAAGAAGCATTAGAGTGCCGGTGTAGCCTTTTAAAATAACTAATAGCACAATTATTCTTCAATTTAGTATCGCAGTCGAATCACCATCCGTTCAGCATTTTGTCGGGTGTAAGAGTGGTGTCCCACTGTTTCATATTTGATTTCAGTCATAGTTGGTGTGGTCTAGTCTATTCCAGATTCCATTTCAAACAATTTTGTAGACTTTAAGAAGAATTGTAAGTCAATAGAATAAATTAAATACAATGATGTTGATCACCAAATATTGTCATAAAATACTATCACAGTTTTTTTAAATTGGCATTATTCTGGAGTTAAGGGTTATTCATGGTTGTAAAAAGAGCTTAGACAGACATGCAGCCATTAATAATTCAGCCTATGATGCATCTGCTTTTGTTCTCATGAGTTGACAGAGGCATTTGCTTTATCCAGCTCTACTTATACTTAATTCTTTTCTTTAGCGATCGATGAACATTCTCTCCTCTCTGATGTGCTCTGACCTGTTGTCGCATGACCAGATTTGTGCTATTACCCAAAAATGCTTACAGCAGTTAAGTGACAGTGGTTCAGGCCCTGTGACCAATAGAGCCACAAAGGTACGTCACACTGGGCAAAACTTGTGTTATGGAATAACCAAATATGTTTTCGTTCAAGGCTTTGCCTGTTTTATCACCCAATCCTTTTATATATATTTTTAAAAAAAGTTGACTTCCCTGGGAGACTTTGTTTACATGATTCACAATGTGATTGTTCAGTGGTGACAAATTAAAATAGGTTTAATCATGCAAGAATGACGTTGAAGGTGAGACCACAATTTCACCATATCGCAAAACATGCTTGTTTCCAGTAATTATTTAGGTGAGAATAAAATACAATAAGTGGAACTGAAACACGACTGTTTATCAAGCACTGGCCTTTTTATGATTCTCTTCCCCCACCTCACACCCAAGTATTTCTTCTTCTTTCCCCAATTGAGTCAATAATACATTAACTTGCACTCGAGTCAAATTTAACTGAGCTGATCAGATTCAGTAAACAAAGAAATATAATGTGACCATAAGATCATAAGATGTAGGAGTAGGCCATTAGGCCTCTCGAGCCTGCCCCGCCATTTAATAAGATCATGGCTGATCTTAACCTAATTCCATTTACCCGCCCTATCCCCATATTCCTTAATCCCTCAGAAATGTGGTTAAATTACCCCTTCTATTTTTAATTACTTAAATCCTGATTAGTCTCCAATCCTATTACAGATTTGTAAAAGTACTGTTGAAACCAGTATTTGAAATGACACATTTCTCAGCACTTCTCTTAGATTTAAAAAAAATGGCAGATTGTAAAAATAATATCAACGAAACAAGGTGGAAAGTCCACAGCAAATCAATATCCACCTGAAAGCAGATAAGCTAATATTTTGGGTGTAGCTTAACATCTCCCCAACTTCTATCGGATACTGATTTGACTTATATTTCAAGGCTGTCTTTAAACTTGTGAACATAAATTATAAATTAGAATTAAGTGGGGGCAGGGGAGAGAAAAAAATTACGCAAATAACGATGCTCTTGTTCGTGTCACAGATTCTGAGGCAGTTTCAAGCTTTGAGTGGGACGAAGTCAATGACTCGGGTTGAACCTTCAGAAGTTGATGTGTCCATTTCCAGTGATGGCACGTCACATAATGTTGAAACTCCTTTAATGGACTTCAGTTCAGTTCAATTACAACTTCCCGTGTCAAAGACGACTTCTGTATTTGAGGAAAACCAAGAATTAACGTGTTGTCTACTTGGTACATCACAAGAAAAGTCAGTTCCACAGGAAGACCAGAGAACAATTACTCTACCTCTTTCAGTGTCGGAGATTGAATGTGAACACAAAGAGAATGGAATTAACTGTTCATCCTGTGCAGAGGACATTGAGAAAAATGATCTGCTTTCAGAAACCAACCTTCTGAACCCTAGGCTCCTGCTTCTGGCAACTGAAGAACGTCTTCATGATGAGCAACAGGATAGAGTAACTGGAGATGCCAGGCTACATGCTCCACAGTGCTACAGTGAGCACGCTTCTGGGGGTGTTCCAATGGACAATAATGCCTCTTTATTTGCTGATATGGTTCTTGTGCAACAGGGAATACCTGCTTCATTGTCAAAACCGTGCCTGAACCAAGGACTGGCAAGACCACTCTCATCCAGGGAAATGTACACACTAACACAAGAGCATAGAGTAAAGCAAACAGAAATCAATAGTACAGTAAAGCTTTTAGACAGTAATACGGAACAGACTACTCGCTCTGAATTTAACCAGCATTCTGTGTTCTCGTTTCTCAACGCATCCTCCTAAGATAATGTCTGAGCTCTTGCGTCAAATCAACCATGAACCAAAGCGAAACCAGCAGATCTAGTTATCACACCTTCATCTACCAGTTATGTTGGCGAATGCAAACAGTTCTATGATTTTCCTGTTTATCCAATGTTGCTTTCAAAATCTGGTTGTGTATGGGTGGCACAACACGATGATCAATAGCCAATCTGAGAATCAAACTGATTGCTTTAGGCAAGTGACTGTTGAATAAAAGGAGTATATTTTGTGCCTTAAACTCAACCACAACGCTGATTTTAAACGTGATTGTGTTTAAAGGTGACTGTTCAACCACTTTGCACCGTTTTTAATTGCATGTTGTGCCTTCCATCGTTCAATTTACACTTCAAGTGCAATATTGCCTTTTTTTAAATTATCGGCTAAATTGGAGCAGAATCTTGAATTGATGAATTATCTAAGGATTCTGTGTCGCATTGCTTAAGAACCAAAGCATATCTTGGAAGAATACTGTAATTCACAAAAATCTATAAAAGGAAAACAACAACAAATGGTCAGACCTGGTACAGATTTCATTTATTTGCTTGGGGTGCACCATTGTCATTTATCAACGACTGTACTGTGATCAGGTGTTTTTTAAAAAAATAAAAAGTCAATGTGAAAATGAAATCTGTCAGAGGAAGACTGTCTATTTAAAAGGTGTCTGTTTAACCATGTTGACTCTTGAGAACGTTTTTGCTGTACTGCGAATGCTGCTAATTATAATAAAACATTTTGTTGCACTAAAGGTTACAGGATTCTATGTTCCTGTTCTGTTACATTTTACACCAAACTACTTACCAGGTAAGTTATTTTGGTTACCTCCTGTTTTATGCTTCTAGTGATGATGATGATGATGATAATAATAATAATCCTTGCATCTGATATAGCACCTATCATGTCTTCGAAACGTCTCAAAGCGCTCCACAGAATATACTGTAAAGTAAATTGACTGTATTTTGTGGGTGCAATGTGACAGCCAATTGCGCACAGCAGCGTCCCACAAAGAGTCGTGGATTGAGTGACCAAATTATTATTATTGTCACAGCCAATTGCGCACATAATCTAGGGTTTATGCCCCCTTGTTACCAGTGTAGCTATGAAGCAGTCACTTATGTTTTATGCCATAGCAATTTATCAATCTTAATTTCATGCAAACTTGTAATACTATTATCACATGTTCTCAGTCAGTTCAGAAGTTCGCTTCGTAAGTGAGCAATATGTAAATCAGTTACATTTGTGCTGTTAAAGCAGTGTTTTTGCCTCAATATTTTCTCTTGCTTCAGTGATCCTCTGCAGGTTTTATTGGGTGTATGAAAATATTTTTCAAGAAATGTCATAAGATATAAGATAAAATGTATTTTTGGTTGATGTGGTTGTATTACCTTAGGTTATAACTAGTCAATTTTCCACCATTAATCCATTCAAGCAGGAGATTCAAATATTTAATAATAATAATCCTTGCATTTGATATAGCGTCTTCAATGTCTTCAATGCGTCTCAAAGTGCTTCACAGAATATACTACAAAAGTGAATTGTCTGTAAATTTAAGTGCAATTATCTTGACATCTCTTCTGTTTAAAGCAAACATAGACAAAATGTGCTTCACTTTCCAAATTGCAATTGGTGGGCTGAGTTGAAAATAAAATTGGCCATGTGGGAATCCCATTGACCTGCAATACACTAGAATTCTCACTGGTTGTCTTCCAGTTACTGAAAGAATCCAACATTCCCATGGTTTAAGATTCCTTATTGAGGAATCCCATTAGAATTTATACATTTTGGACCCCCATTGTCTGCTATCTTGCTTTGGATTAATGAGAATACAAATCAGTGACTATTTAATAGTGGTATAGCTTGAAAACCAATTATATCTAGAACTAAAATGCTAAAATTGAAAAACCTTGATTCTTTTTATATGTTGGACATTTATTACTGCATAATTGCTTTAAATCCTTGTGACTCGAAACATATATTGATGTGTATTTGGGCAATTGCTGTACAAATCAAGCCAATTGACAGCTGAAAATTAGACTGAATAGACTCCTGCACTCCTCAGGCCTCACAATGGTCAAGCTTGTTTTGTTCATTTACTTCTGCTCCTTAAGTTAAATTCTTAAGCATAAACTACCCTCCAAAAACTAAAAACTGCAACATTTATAATAAAATAATGAAGTAATTACTGAGCAATTTAAGTCAGATTGGTTTGCAAGGTGTGCTTCTACTGGGCTGTCAACATTACTGCAGGATTATACTGGGCCTTGTGTACTTCAATGTTTACAAATCATAAATATATTAAAATACACAAGGTACAGTACACATAAATACATACACACAAGGGGTGAAAAGAAAATCAATGAGTTACATGTGCACTCCCAAGACTAAAGTTTGATTTTGCTGTTTCCAATTTTAACCAGTCTTGTGACTATTTACCATAGAGGTGTGACTATTTTGCAGAACAAGAAAAGTACTGTGGCAACATCAGGCTGCTTCAGAGTGTAAATAAGTAATACCGTAGTTTGAATTCTTCCACAGGTCAATGATTTAAAAAAGTCAATCATGTTCAGTCTTACCAAAAGTAGAATGACCTAAATTGGACTTGATCACTCAGGTCTCGGGAGATGAAAACAAATCACACAAAATTCTTATTTCTTCACTATCACTGATTGAGGATCGAGCTCAATTAAGAACTCCCTGCCCTTAATACATTTAATATTGCGCTCATCACATTATTGAGGCATCTCAAAGTGATTTTTACACTAACTGCTTGGTCTAACAGTGTGAAAAACCTTAGTACGGGCACAGTTCAATAGTGATCACTTGGGCAAAATATTGCCAAGTTCAAGGAAAAGTTAAGTCTTCAGGAAAGGAGGGGGATGCATTGATTTAATAATGCCACTACTTTTTAAGGGTTGGGCGCAGAAAAACCTTGAATTCCATTTGATTTAAGCAATTTTGTTGGGGACATTTTGTTCAGTGTTCCAGTTCTTAATGTCAGCAAGGGAAATGAACATTACTTAGTACTCCCTAAAAAGGCAAAGCTTCCAACTCAGATGCGTCTGTGGTTCTTTGAAAGAGCAATAGGTTAAACCGAATACAAAGCTTGTTGCCTAAGAGTTAATTTCCTAAATATAATCCTACTTCATCTGGACTTCCTAGAGCCAGGTCATTTACTATAACTGAAATTGTACAAGTCATGAGAGGTTAAGTAAAAATAAATTTTATTTGAAAATTGTTGCAAGCAGTCAATGGATTATTCTGGGGAAAACAACCTTGAATCTTTTACAAGAAAACAGGTGCATATTTGGCTTTGACAATATAAAGCTGGTGATCTTTTAAGTCACACATACTGTTGATTTAGAACCAATGTGAATTTAAACTCTGAACTGGGCAAATATTATGATTAATAATAACACATGTAGCACCTATAGCATTTATAGCACCTTTCATGTAAAAAGTTTAAGCGCTTTACAAAATATTAGAAACAAAGCAAAAGAAGCAACTTTTTTTAATCTTCAAATGTATGCAGTGTTTTGGGGATAAAGTGCAGTGTAAATAGAAAGTTCAGCTGTTACAAAGACTTAAAACAAAGCAAGTGATTTATTGAAAAATAAACAGAGTGCAAATTGGACTGCAGAACCCATAAGCCCAACAAGATGAACAAGTAGATTTATTTTTCGGTAAATCATGGGTCACAAGTAGGTGACGCACAGTTTAGTGAAGTCAGAAAATGGTTCCTCGTTGGGCAGGGAGGGAAAGCGAACAGAACAAACTATGTGGTATAAAATTATGAACAGCATGCTCTTGCAATCAATCTTCAGTGCAGTGGGATAAAAAGTCTTAAGTCAAACAATAACATTTAAACCTTGAGCTAAAATGACTACCTTTCCTCATAAGCACTTCTTAATTTACTTTAATAATTAGGTATCTGAATTCACAGATTTAATGATGGCTGTAATTTATGTTGCATTTCCATATCACCATACTCTTACACTATATTTGAATAATCTTGTACGTATGAGTACAAACAGTTAAGTGTTTGTGCTCACTTTCTGAATGTTAAGCATACTTTAGGCTTACAAATAAATTAAGGAAGCATCTCAGATTTCAGTGTACTTTTAAGAATGACAAATTCTGCCCTGTTCTGGGCTACCTGTCGCTTTTGACAGGATGTGCTTGTAACTGGTGTTCTTGTCCCAATCTCTGCACATATCCCAGGCCAGAATGTAATTGCTATTTAAGTATAACAACTAATTACATTTATTCACGACAGTAGATGTGTACCTTTTGGGCAACTGTTTGTGATTTTACAATTTTAAAGTGTAATGTTTTAAGATGCATTTGCATTTGGAACGTGTTTGTTAACTTCTATCGTCTTAAAATTGATTTGTTCTCTGCCAGGGCAATCTGTATGGAATTCACAAGGGAAAGTAAACTCAATGATTAAAATTACCCATTCTAAATTCTATATTTGATCTTGGTCAAAACAGATTCCAAATCATATATTTTAGGTGAATCTCCATGGCAATCTCCACCATTACAGACCGACTCTATACTAGTTACAAATTCACAATAAGCAAAATGTGAGTTTGCAGCTATTATAGGAATGGGGCTTAAAGAAAACCTGGTCACATAGTAACTATAGTCAGTTTAATATAGTTTAAAAGTATCATAAATGTCTCTAATCCGGTTCTCATCTAGAATCAGGTTCTTTTTCCAAAACTCACCCAAACCTCTACGCCCAAAGTTTCATAAACCAATCTGATCCCATCGAGGTAAAAAAATTGTTTCTTCATTACTATCCACATTCAACACCAATCTCCGAAGCATTGCTGGAGAATCCATCTGCTCCGTTCACCCATTTCACTGGGAATAGTTAGATTAGAATAGTGCAGGATTCAGCACAGAGCCTAAATCAAGCAATTAGAGCTACAGTTGTGAGACAGACTTCACAGTGATCATATTCTTATCAAGGGCATTCATGGAGTGAAGAGAATGGTAAATCTTTAAACCAAATGGAGCAAAAGGGGCAAAGTTGTGCAATTTAAAATCCTCTAAATACAAACATCCAATGCAAAAGATTACATTTACACAGTCGCCCATTGAAGGCACACAGTCCCGTGTTCTGGTCACGTCTGGTGTCCACGCTGGTGTAAGCTATAGAAGTGTGCCGCTCTCAGAACCTGATTGATGTGGAAGTACGGGCCTTGTGCAGGATGTTCACTGGAATCTGAAAACTGAAGCAGAGCTGAGCTATCGCTTGCCCTGTTCTGGTTTGAATTGTTTTCAGCTGGTAAATGTCCATTTTGTCTGTCAGGACTGCTGATACTGCTGCTGTCGCTGCTTGAGGACTGGGGGGGGGAAAGAGAAAAAAAGTATGGTTTGGTCAAAGTAACTCTTACTCTAAGACAAAAGTTACAATGTTCTTTACATTGTTTAGACCACCTATTTTGTACATACAATTTCTCCATTCCCCTCCCAAATTAGTACCTCAGAATCATGTGTATCTCTTGCAATTAAAGGGTTTCACTTTGGCAAGTAATAAGCCTTCCATTTGATATCACACCTTATCACATAAACTGGACTTAAAATACATTTTTAAGGGAAAACTGCATGCAGATCCAATTAAACTATGTTTTACAGGCCACTATATACATAATGAAAGTTGTACTGCATTGTTTTCTACTTTCAGCAATAACACATTGAAAGTTGCTTCTTCATTTGACAAAGCCTGACTGTAGAATTGAATCTCATCCGATTGTAAAATTATGAAGGTTTTCAATTGCAAACATTCAGCTCCTTGAGTTGGTAACCACAATGAAACCCCCCTCCCCAGGCATAAACTAGAGGCAAAGACAACCAGAACAGTTGACAGAAGAGTACAAATCCACAAGAAAGCTCAGTCCTAAGATATCATTATCAGAACTTGTTATCTAAAAGCTACATTTGCCCAACGCAAATACTGCGTATTCCTGTTTGGCAGGCTCAAGAGAAAATACTCCCATTAGACTGTACAGCTCAAACTCGTGTAAACCAAGAGACTGGGGAGGAAATGCCTTCTCTAAATCCAGACCACAATGTAGTAGAGCTTTATAAAATCATAACTGGAACAGCAGCAAAGATTTCCTGGCACATAAACTACAGCTTCAATTTTATAACACAGGAAATGCTGCAGTCACATTTCAAAAGGTTTAATCAATGCGAACATTTGCAGGGGAATGCCAACTGTGAAGACTTTCTGTCTATAGGAATCTACCCTGCCTCAGCTCCAGAACTCTGGCCATTTTGATAGACACTGAAGCAAGCATTTACCACCATTTACTGAATCAGGATTGAAACAATCATAGAACAAATTCAACTCACCAGAAATTACTCATTTTGGATGGGGAAAGAAAAAAAAATAATTGAAAGGGTAGCCCAACTATGCTAAAGTAAGGACAATGGTTGCAGTAAACAAGTAGGTACAGTTGCCACAAGTGAAAAGTGCTCACTAAGATTCCAAGAGTATCTTCATCAATTGAAGGGTTCTCTCCAATTAAAATTATTTTTTTCAGTGTTGAAGTTGCAGCGATAACTAAACAATTCTCAGTTGACAACTTAAAACTAGAGATTTAAGCATTTTGCCACCAGTGACTAACCTCCGAGTCCCAGGTATCTCTAGGAAGCTCCTGGAACAAGCTATTGTTGCTGAGACGTTTTGGCGGTGGGACAGGCTGGTTACCTTCATCATCACAGCTCCGTCTTCGCTTCCTAAATGGCAAAAAAAAAACACATTTGGGAAGCATTGGTCTTTAGTGAATTTCCCTCAAGTATGACGTGTTTTTCAATATGAAAGAAGGCTTAAATGTTACGCATTTTTTCTTTAAAGATAAAGATCAGGCAAAATGCTCAAAGTTTTTTTAAAAATGGATCTTCTGAACTTCCCATATATCCAGAAGCTATTTTTGTCTTTTGCTTCAGGACAGCTAACTCATTCAGTCCCATCATTTTCCAGTGAGCCAATAAACTGCCACTATTTTAACAGACCTAGAGTGCAGATGGGTAGGATTGTACTTGCCTGAAGACATTGGCAGCCCTGCAGAAAAAATGAACTTAAATTGTCAGATTTTTCTCACAAATCTACCAACACCAATTAAGGGTCTTAAGATGATCTAGTTTTATTGATGCACCCAACAAATTTTTGCACTGTATTTTTACTGCACGTTTATTGGCAGACCACTGCAATTTTGACAGCGATTCACTAGCAAACGTGTAGTTTTAACTGGGGTTCTGACAATGCAAAGTACACTGGATCTCTGCCAAGGAACTCTACAATGTGCATAACACTAAAATCAGGCGATTGTTTTTTCTGAACCCATTTCAAAGCCGAATAGAATACGAGCATGGATCAGGCTTCCTGTTCCACATCACTACATCGTCAGTACTGAAGTAGCTTCACTCCAGGCAGTAATAAGTGCAGCATTAACCAGGTCTATAATATTTTTAAAGACTTAGAATTCTTGGTTACTCAGGATTCTGTATTAAGATGGAGATTATTTATAGGCCTTGTGTTAGTGAAATAACACTGGTAATAATACAGCCAATTACAGTTTCCAGATGTTTCTGTCATGAGTTAACTATGGAAACATTTTGCAGACGAATTAAGTGAAAAATTTGGAATATTTTCTTCAAAAGTATTTTCCGCACCCAAATGCAATCCTCCTTTTACATTACTGGATTGGTGTGGTAACATTTCTGAAATGCACTACAATTGGTGCAGGAAACTGGATTTAAATTTATCACTTATCTGAGGCCAAGTATAGCTCTGCAAGTAAGCAACTGAGAGCACGTGCAGAACTTTGCTATTTGGAACCAAAAAATCTTAAATATTAGCCAATTCTAAATTAAGTTGTACTACAATCATTAGATTTTACAAATAGACATCAAATCTATGCAGAAACTGCACAAAATCAACACAGCTGAATGGACATGAATATTGAACGAAGCCTACTATGTGAAATAATTTGACCCATTTTTCTCAATGCTCCACTTCAATCTTCGTCTCCCCTTCTTTAATAATAATAATGCTGTGTAACTGAGATAAGCTAACGCATACTGTCATTCACACCTATAGTCTTCTGGTACATATGGCTTAGTAAACGTCTGACAGTTCATACACCAGGCTCAATCCCTTCATCATGACTTTGAATTCATAGTCTACGACAGCAGTGACCAACCCATGGCCTGTGAGCCAAAAGTGGCCCGCGGGAGCTTCAAGAAGTAGCCCGCCAAACATTAGCAGTAGTCTAGATAAGCCTGTGTTAAATCAGTATTCTGCTTCCAGTAGCTATATTTACAGTGTGCCCATAAATCAAGAAATATTCAATCAAGAAAAAATTATTTTTCGTTGGACGACCAAAAAGGTTGGTCAGTACTAGGCTAGGGTGACCATCCAATACAGCCAGGAGCGGCATGGATTGTCAGAGGTCCCATCCTTTGGATGAGATGTTAACCTGAAGTCCTGTCTGCGTGACCTTCACGTGTGGATTTGTGGACTTTCAAGATCCGAGGTACTAGATTTCTCCCGATGATGTATTAGTTAAGATTTTAAGTAGCCTGGGGTTAGAAAATAGATTAATGGGCCAACTGGTCTTACAAATTTCTTTTATTCTGGCGAGCTGGCTAAAATACTGATAAATTGTCATTTACTTCCAGTGTGTGTGGAATGTGCCATGTGCAGATTAGCTGCCTAAAATTACACAGACAGCAATTACCTGTAAAGTGCTTCAAGACGTTTTGACATTATAGGCAACATATCAAATATTATTATTGGAGAGCTGCAATATTGTCCTTTAAATCCTGTTTCCAGCCATGGTGGGAGCAAAAAGGCAGAGAAAAAGTAAACAGATTTTTTTTTTAAATAAAAATTAAACTGAACTAAATAAATGCAAAGAAACAATGCAGGCAAATGCAAATATAATCTTAACATTGTGAAATACTTATGACAGTAAAACATTATCTTAACTAGTAATAGTGTAATATCACATTTTATTTCTTGAAACCCTTGGATGGTGTGGATTTTGCAGGTTATTTGCACACTGTGAGTACAGAACGAGAGGATATGTAAAATTAATAAGGTGCCAGGCTCGGGATTGGAAGATTTTATTTCCCCCTTCAATACAGGTGTATGTTGCTGATGCTTTTGAATGATTAACTGCTTCAGAAAAAAAGGGATTAGATTGATATCTGTCTGGGAATGGGAGGCTACGGGGAGATTATAAATAAAGGTACAGATTAAAATGGTTAAATATTTTAAGGTTCAGAACGGTTCGTGTGCCTGTAACATGGCTGGGCCGGAGGAGGAAGTGGTCTGCGTGCAAACAGCAGGACCCGGGCCGGGTCGGGAATTATCGGTTGGTTACCTGGTAATCGATGAAGCTCTGAAGGACTGCGCTTGAACTATCATCGTATATTGTGTGCAGAACTTTGGCTTTCAGACATGTAAGTGTACAGTAATGAATAAAATCCTTACGCTATGGGCTGGGGAAGGCGATGGACTAATAGGCCAACGAGTCTCCCACACACACACACACACACATATAGGGTTTTTTTTTCCTGTCGAGATGATCCCCCAAACCTGGGGACTTACTGTAAAGAAGAGTAATATGTCCGGGAAAGAGGGAGGTGTGGGGGGTGTGGGGGTCGCTTACGCAGCTCGATTTTTGAGGCGCGTTTGAAGACCGTTTAAAAGGAGAGGAGGGGAATAAATAGTCTGTCATTGGGTTAAAGGTGTTGAGCAATGTGTTGACACGAGAGCCCTCCTGTGTCTGCGCCACTGGGCCTCGAGTTATCAGTCGGTCAGTGAGACAAGACCGGCGCGGCGCCGGGGCCCGTCACTCCCTCTAATGGCACAGAATAACCCCCCCCACCCCCTCCCTCTTAACGAAGCCCGACAGCCTCCAGCCGAGGAGACGCGGGTTAACGAGCAGCTCGTGTCCCCCCCCCCCACCCCCATAGGCATCGACCGAGACAAGGGCCCCAATCAGTGTCGCGGGGGCCCTCTCTCCCTCCGGCAGTCACTCGGGGGAGGGAGAGCGGACGCGGGCACTCACCTGCCGTCTGATAACATCTACTCCCGGGGCGGGCGGCGGCTGCTCTGTCTGTCTGTCTGTCTGCCCGGTTTCTCTCTCTCTCTCTCTCTCCCCCGCCCTCACCTCCCACCGCCCCACCCCCCCCACCCCGGGCTTCACGCCAGAGTCGGCGCTGTCGCTGCTGCCACCAACCAACCAACCAACGTTGCTTTAATAGTGACGTGTTGTGTGTGTGGCGGCGTCTGTCCCTTCGTCCACATAGATACCGGCCCCGGGGCTGTGTGTGTGTGTGCGGGGGGGGGGGGGGTTACTGTGTGTGTGCGGGGGAGGGGGTTACTGTGTGTGTGTGTGTGTGCGGGGGGGAGGGGGTTACTGTGTGTGTGTGTGCGGGGGGAGGGGGTTACTGTGTGTGTGCGGGGGGGAGGGGTTTACTGTGTGTGTGTGGGGGGGGAGGGGGGTGTGTGTGTGTGTGAGGTGTGTGTGTGGGGGGGGATTGCCGTCGGTGGGTGTGTGTGTCTCGCTCACCGCATCAGCTCTCCCGGGCGGGTCCCGACGCTGACTCCCTCTCTGTCTCTGTCACACGCAGACCCCGCGCGGGAGAGGAGAGAAGACCACAGACGCAAAAAAGCCTTCGTCACAGGGCCGTCACCGCCACCGGGTAAACACTCTCCCCCTCCCCCTCCCACCGCTCGCTCCTCCGTCACGGGGGGAGGAACTGGGTCCTCTACCCCACCGCAAGCAGCGCTTCAGCCCTTCCACTCACTGCCGGGTCACCCGCACGTCCCCCGGGTGGGGGTGAGGGTGGGGTGAGGGTGGGGTGGGGGGGGAGAGAGGTTTTTGTGGCTCCCGTTTCTCCTCCTCCCTCTGTGTGTGTGGCGGCGTCTGTCCCTCTCTCGCGCTCCTGTGTACAGGCGGCGCGCGGGCACCTGTCCGGGGTCCTGAAACCCAACGGTCTCTGCACGGGGCGGGAGTGGGGGGGGGGGGGGGGGCAGCGCGAGCGGGTGGCAGTTGGCAGTGGGTGGGGGAGGGGCAGTGGGGGGGAGGGGCGGCGGGTGGCAGTGGGGGGGGGGAGGGAGGGGCGGCGGGTGGCAGTGGGTGGGGGGGAGGGGCGGCGGGTGGCAGTGGGTGGGGGAGGGGCGGCGGGTGGCAGTGGGTGGGGGAGGGGCGGCGGGTGACAGTGGGTGGGGGAGTGGCGGCGGGTGGCAGTGGGTGGGGGAGGGGTGGTGGGTGGCAGTGAGGACGGGGTGAGCGGGTGGCAGCGGGGCGGGGGGGGGGGCAGCGTGTGGGTGTGAATCGCTGCCAGAGACACACGGGGAGGAGACGATTTACACTCGGTGTCTCCCCCCTCCCTACCCTCAGGCTGAAGTTTTAGTTTCTTTCTACTCGAGCTTCCCGACTGCCCAGCGCTTCTGGGGTCGTCCTCCCGACGTGAAAGGTGCTATACGAACGCGATTTGTTGTTGTTGTTGACCGATTTATTTTTTTTAACGCGCAGACGCACTGCACGCCGAGAGTCGGCGTCGTCGTTGTTGTTGTTGTTGACGCGCCGTGCACGCCAAGTGAAGACTGTAAGGCTCCGGTAGGGTGACCGTATTTTGTTAAACCCAATCCGGGGACACGTAGAAAATTAATTGCCGTTCTGGCTCCGCTTGTGGCTGAACTGGATCAAGACGGGTCAAATTTGGCCCGGAACACAGCACCTCATCCCGTCACCGTCCCCGTTAATAATAATAATCACAATAATAATCCTTGCGTTTGATATCCTTGAGCCTTATCGCCTCTTCGAGGCGCCTCGAAGCCCTTCTCAAAATCTTCTGTGGAGTGTCGTGTCTGGGTAATTTGTGGGTGAAATCAGGGACCTGTGGGGTAGAGAGTGTAGAGGCCATTGGGCTCAAGAGGGAACGAGACGGATGTGGGTGGATGAAGGAGGCAAGTGTGAAGGGGGTGTGGGGTCAGGGCAGTGGCACTGAATGGACGACTTGGTCCAAGACGGGTGCGGACTCGATCAGCCGAATGACCTCCTCCTTCCTCACAGTTAATGATCCTACGATACTGCACAGAATCGGCCGGCCAGGAATTGTTTTTTTTTTGGAAATAAAACTGACTGGGATTGAGCGAATCACTGAGTGATTTTATAGATTAACGGTCGGCCAACCAAATAAGTTTTTTTCTTCATTGAATTTTTTTTCTTCTTTTATGACTACACCATGGGCATTGAGGCTTGTTAGCTATAGTATCTTTGGCACGCACTTGCCTGTGCTGGTCCGGGTGCTTAATGGGCCGCTTCTTGATGCTCCCAAGAAGTCGGTTGCGATCGACCATTTGGGGACCCCTGTTATAGATCCAGTAAAGGAGGATAAAATGCTTCTTTATTTGCAAAATAATTGTCATGTTCCTGTCTAATTATTGTTTGACTTTTTGGAGCAATGATACACAGTACTTCTCATGATATACATGTACTTAAAATGTTTCCTACTGTAACGGGGAACATTTTTATTTTTTTTAGGGGTGGAGATCCTGAAGTCATCGGATTCCAATGAAGAGACAGTTGAGATGAACTGGTATTAAAGGAAAACCTAGGAATAAGTCCCATCTTTGCATTTGTTGTATAATACTGACCTCTGCAATTGGCTTGGAAAGTTTTCTTATCTGAACATGGTATTGTTGCAGATAGTGAAAGTCCAGCAGTTGCAACTAATGAAGACGTATTATCAAAGGACCGTTTGACCAGATGAGAACTATTCTGTCTACCTGAGATAAACAAATGGCGACTGCTTCACCAGGGACGGAGGTGTGTCCATTCTGTGGAAAAGCTTTTAAGCGTCTCAAAGCGCATCTCCCACACTGTAAAATGACTAAGAATATGAATGGGAAATCAAACTTTAAAAAAACCGAGGTATCAAATGTATTTCCACAGTCGGAGTTAAACACCAAATTAGGCAGAAATCCAGAACCACCTAAAAGCAAGATTGCAATTAAAGCAAATTCAGGAAATGCAATTCAAGAGGGACTGAAACTTAAAAAGCAAAAGAAGTTAACAAATGTGGGGACTGTTATTGATGAGGCAGTTCGTTTATCTGAACAAATGCGTTTGAGTAGCGGAACTAATGAATCACAGTCCATGCTTAATGCTGGTGGTCTGATTGATAACGTAGAGCAAGTTACAGGAAATGTAAGTCAGCGATCAAATCCTGATACAACTAAAAGGACAATAAAAGAAATGACTAAAAAGAAAACCAAGGCAAATGAAGACTTTCTTAAACAAGAAAGAAAAAACACAGTCATAAAATCAAAAGGCAAAACAAGAACAAAATTGAAGGGTACTCAGAAAATTCCTAACGATATTCGAAGTAAAGAAAGGGATGAAATTAATAAGGGATCAAATGAAAAAAGTAACGTAGACCAACAGATGTCAAAAGATATAAATGTTTCTGAAGTGACATCAGTTTCTAATTTAGAAAGGATTCAGATTAGACCGGAATTTGAGATGGAAGCATCAATGTTGGAATTGCAGTCATATCCCATCATACTTAAGTCTAGTTATCTTAGATCAAAGATGCTCAATCCTGTAACGGCAAAAAATCTTGAAGGATGTCAAAGTGATTTCAGACAACATCAGAATCAACTCGTAGGAAATATTGCAAATGAACTAATATCTGAACAAAGGTCAGTAATGGTTAACAAAACTAATGTGTGGGATCATATTAAAGAGAATTTGTACAGAAGGAAGTTGATAAACAACGTGGATCAAGAATTTATTTTGACGGTGAATGCAAATGCGAAGGAGAGTGATTATAAAACTAAAGCTTTGGAAACTAGTTACAATACTTCTGTCTGTAATTTATCCACTGGCACTGATATCTGTAGAGTAAATGTGGCTGCTTCACAAGTGAACTTTCAATATGAAGGAAGGCCACATGCTTGTTATGTAGCCAATATGAGGAAAACAAAACCTGGTGACTTGGACACAGATGGTCTTGCACCTCCAGAAAGTTTGCTGTTACAACCAGCAGAAAAGTATTTGAATCGAGAGAATCTTTTACCAACGGGAACAACACAAAATGAGGATTTGAATGAAAGGATAAACAACTCTTGCTCTAGTGTTTCCAAGAATACTGGGATAGGAATGGAGTGGTTTCCTGAACTCTATCCAGGTTATCGCAGTGTCGGACTGAGTATGCTTCCTGTGAAAGCTCAAGAATGGGACATACCTTTAAGGCCTTTTGTTTGCAAGAATGAAAAGAGTAAAGGTACAATTGCAATATTTTAATGTCTATTATAGCGAGATGCCTATGTTTTGGACTGATGATTTACCTCCGAGCAACAACAACTTGCATTTATATTGCACCCTTCATGCGCTAGCATTTCGAAGCGCTCGCATTCCTTTGCGTGATCTAGTTGTCTATCTGTGAATCTATAGTTTCTTAAATATTATTGCAGTGAACAGTAATCACTAACAAAAAGTACAGTCTGATGTTTGTCACAGCAAATCATTACTATATTTGACATATTTTATTAACTGTCCAAAGGAAAGGAAGAATGTAGTTACAAGGGGACCGAATGGGGTATATATTGGCTCAAAATTGGGAGATTCTTTTGGGGTGGAAATGATGGGCAATGCTTTTTTTTGTTCTTTCCTGTTTATGTCTATGCTAATGGGTGGCTGAAAGAGACTTGTGGTGTTAAAAGATTTTGAATGAATGTATTAATGATGAACATATTAGGAAATTGAGATTAACAGGATCAAGTCCTGTCTGCAGTTTCCCTTTCAGAGAGGCATCTGATGCATGTTACGTTGAATGAGCTTCCATCCTGGCTGGCAGCCCGAGACCACTCTCCAAAGGGACTCATTACGGCAGTCCAAAGAGGTATTGACTGTTCAGTGTCGTGGAATAGAATGGGTGGAATGGAATGCTTTTTGTTAGAACTAACAAAGGATTATTATTATAATACATCTAAAACATAATGAAAAAATGAATTTTGCAGATCAGACTTTTGAATTGAATATTGCTCTTTTAAGAGCTGGTAAATTTTATTTGGTGCATATTTAAATCAAAGTACCAAGGTACTATATTTATTTGCTGTTGATAAATATTTCATTTGTTGTTGCAATGTGATGCCAGTGACAACAGAGAAACTGGCTTACAGGCAAATTGAAACCGACATATTGATGGAGCTGAATTTATATAACTAGAGATACAATGAATAATAATAAGGGAATGATCCATCTCCCTTACTCTATAGTTTAGAAGCACTTTCAAGACAGTTTTAACTCATACAGTCATCATCACGTACCGTTTTAAAGAAAGAGATTCCAAATAATAATAATCCTTACATCTGATATAGTGCCTTTAACATTGGGAGGACGTCTCAAAGCTCTTCACAAGATACACGTAAATTGTAGGCTAAGATTGCTAAGATAACAATCATTTCCTTATCTCCTCATTATAAAGTAGTAAAGAGACAGGTTTTAGCTTTAGTAATTTTGTCTTTAAAGTAGATAGCAGCTTTCTTCCTTGTTTAAGTGTGGGTTGCTGTGTCTCCATTACCTAAAATATACTGAAGCACTGCTTGACGGAAGGTCATTGGGTGAGTATAAGAAATTGAAAAACAAAAAATGGAAACAGATATGTAAGTAACTTTTTTATGTAAATATTATTCTGCAGGCTATGATAGATATTACAATAAATACATTAATGTGAAGAGAGGAAGTTTTGGAGGAGTGACCATGTTACTTGTGGGGTATGCAACCCTCAGCTATATCTGGAGTTACAATCATATCAGTGAGTAATCTTTCCCTTCACATTAAATTAATATTTAACAGAACAAAGGATAATTTTCTGACTAGTGCTTCAAAACTTGCATACCTGTATTTGTAAGTATTCTAATATCTCATTTTTGAAAGTCATTTTATGGTCTTTGTACCATACAGAATTACAAAAATATAATAACTGACTAATAACTGTTGGAAAATTAAACTGTAGTTACAATGCTGTTTAGTGTGAAATTGCTTCCTACCAATGTAAGGTGGAGCAGCGTCTCTCTTAATGATGTGGCAGCAATACATGACAAGTTCTTTTTAAAAAAAATGTTTGCAGAACATCACCGCAGGAGGAAGTTTCACTGAAGATCCTGGATTACCATACTTCTCTGTTTCATTTTACACTCTTAAGTAGGGCAGACCGAACTACTACTTTATTGATAAGAACCTATTTCTACTGGATTATAGGTATTGTTCCTTACTTTATAATAGCCCAAACTGGGATCTGCCTGGCAGGTTCTCAGTAATCCAAGGCATTGATGATGGTTGACTGGCCTCCCTGGCTAATCAATGATCCTGGGGGGAAGCATCAATTCTGTGATGACAGTCTTCGTGGGTCAGTAATAGCTGGACAATTACTATGCTTTAATTAATTACTGTGCAAATACGATTTAATTGAAAGAAAATATTTTTAGCAGTTTATAAAAAATATGTAAATACTGTATGTCCTGAAAAGAACTGTGCTTTTATTGACAATTAAGTACTAATAACCAGAATTCTTAGATTTATTTACCACCATTAGATTTTACTGCCTTTTATATCTTTAAAAAATATATATTTTATCTGGATATGCAGATTTGTTGATCTGAAAGAAATCTCTATCTGTAGAAGGATCATGAGAGCGTACACACTGTTTCTTATATATATATATATAATAGCTCTGAGCACTGTTTACAATCAAATCTTGCTTTTAACAGCTTGGATAGTAAAGCAGATTGTGTTATCTGATTTAATGATCATATGATTTATATTTTGTTTTAATAGTTTATTGACTATCAAATGTTATTTAGTTGCTCCAGGAAAATTGTTACCAGGGAATTTGCTGATTACTATCTGGTGCTGTTTGCTCCACTTATTGGTATATTGGCTATTCTCTCCATGTAAAATAAATTGGAGGAGGGGAAAAATCGTACAGATATCTGATAAATATATTTTTCTTTTAGGAGTAGTTTTTTTTTAAAAAACCTGCTGGTAATTTTTGCACATGTATGCTGAACAATTTTAAATAAAATTTTCTCCTTGCTAAATCATGTCAAACTTGTATTTAATAAATCATTCCTAATACTCAATGAATATTAAGCTCAATATAAACAAAGCTAAGTTTCAAACTCTATTATGCAGCACTTATGATTCAATCATGCAATACTTATGATTTAAAGCATTTATTTATCCTCCCAAGTTCTCCTCACTACCCACAAAGTTATTCTAAAACAGTTTTAGCAACATTATATTATAATAGTCCTTGCCGACTATTATGACTGATGAAATTAAGTGAACAGAAAGTAAAGAAAACCCTTTCCCTAAATTCATATGCTCACTGTATGATTATTTTCAGGAAATTACCTTTGGGACAATTTCTCCAGATTATTTCAATTGCCTTTCATTACCACGAGATGGCAACAATGTCCACTGTATGTTTTCAGAAGTCAACACAGTACTAGTAACTAAGGCTTTGTAGGCAGTGACAAGAAAAAATAGTGTGTCTATGTGGGTGCATTATTTAACATTTGACTAGTCAGAGAACAGAAACATTTTTCCTGGATAAAACCAAAAATAATTTACGAGCAGTATTTGCATTACTATGTTCCTATGATATCTCATCCACTCCGGTGATGGTGTCTTCATTGTGTGAAATGCAAAACAGATTAGGTGGCACAATTTGAGAAGAGAAGGGCATTTATTCTTGTGTCTTGGGTAACCATTCTCCAGATACAATTGGTCATTCACTTCATGGCATATTGAATGTTCACCTATAAATATACAGCTCCAACACTTCATAGCAACGTGTGAAGCTCTTTGAGACATTCTTGACCTATGGTATGTCGAATGCAAGGATTTTGTTATTAAAATGTCACAGGTAGAAGACTCGTTTGACGTTCCCAAAACTTTTTCATAAAAATTGTACGTTTCAATGATTTTTAGTCAATGCCATGGACTAAAATGTCTTTAAAAAGTACTGCTCCAACCTTTCTATGAACAAAGGAGTAAGTATTAACACCTCACAGAATGTCTTAAAAGATACCCAGTGACAGAGAAAAAGGAAAAAAAAAGGTGAGTCCTGGCAATCTAAAGTAAAGGTGGAAAGTGGTGAAAATGCTCAAGGTGATCAGCATCTGACAGAAAGATATTCATTTTTTACATGAGGACCTTAATCTACAATGCAACTCCAGCATTTTTTGTTTTTATTACAATATATTCTGTTTAGGGAGAAAGTAACCACCAGGGGTCACACACGTTACACTGTCGACTGACTCCTTTCAAAGTGCATCTAAAGAATCCTGTAATGTGCAGAATTAGCTTATGTATAACATATATACAATCCTTCACGTAAAATAATTCAAAGCACTTCACAGAATTAGATAACTTAGAAATAAAACAAATTATGTGGACAAGTTTGATAGCTAAAACAATGAGTGTCCAATTAATCTTTTTTTTAGGCTGAATTTGGGTAAAGGTAGGGTATAAATCAGAAATCTGGGGATGGTTGGGGGGATGGTTGCGTTTAATGCATGTCTGAGTTACAAGTCAGACAGGACCTCAGTTTGATTAATTTTTTGAAAAAAAGAATGATGATCAAATGTTTTTTGCTTACACCAAAAGGTTATGTCTAATCATGTGACTACAAGCTTTTGTTATTGAGTGTTTTGGATGGATTCTGCATTTATTGCACAGGGAATTAGATTTATTCAAACATTAAGCCTTTAGGCATTGAATTTCCTTGAGAGCTTGCAGCAACCAGATGGGATTTCTGTAATGTGTTGCAAACGATGGCCTTTTGTAAAGCTACATTACAGAATGGGTTGTAGCACCAAGCTGCTTTGACAATTTTTTTTATTCAGAATAGGAAACAGCGATCTTAAATATTATGAAGATAGGAAAGATAAAGAATGGGTTAACTGGACAAATAAGGTACTGAACCGTTGAACGTATGTTTGCTGTGATCGTACTGCTAAAGAGTGAAGCCACTTCCATTCATTTAGTGTGCTTCACACCCATTGCATTTATGCTGTGTGTGTGCGCAAATTGCTCCTGTCTTTACTTTCTTCAGGTGGTATGAACAGGACTCGAACACTCTACTCTGGAACACTCTCCCTCAATCCCCCCGCCTTGCCTCCTCTCTCCCTTTTTTCAAATCCCACTGAAAACCTTCCTCTTCGACCGAAGTTATGGCCGCCCCCGGCTTGGAGTCAGGCTCCGCCACTGTTAGCTTGTGTGGAGGGTGCTATATAAATGCAAGTTGTTGTTGTTGTACTCTCTCACACTTAACATTTGTTGCTGAATTGGTCCCTAATTTGCAATAAGCAGTTAATCACCATTGGACATGCAATAAAGATGCAGCATTAGTTTCCAGGGAAGACAAAAAACAATTCAACCAGTGAGCTTCCAAATTGTCACGGATTTTACAATTTCCAAGTATGGTCGATGCTGATCTGTGACTTTTAATTTAAAACCAATTAAAGTTTGGCTTTAGGGAGAATGCCACAGGTGGGATCTACATGCTCTTTCTCAATTGAAAAAGATGGTCGCTAAGTATAGTAAATGAAAAACTCCCTGATCATATCTTAGCTCTCAAGTAAATGAAAAAAATCTTGTCGTACCACACACCCAATAAATGCCTTACGTTTGCCTTACATTTACTTATTTCTATTACATTCTACTGTTTCTTTCTGAATTAGTACCAAAGTTGGTTTGTCGTATTTGCTGTGGATCTCCCGTCAGCTAATTGCAGAGAGATCATATAGATGGACCAGGTCCATAGCTCAGCTTGTTATACCTCAATTAATTGAAGCAGGTTACATGGCTGGGAGGAATGCCAGATTCTAAATGGGAATCTGATCTGGATATCTGCAGGTTTTAACATATATTAAGAGGTGGTACAGAAATAACAACATTTTGGGTGTTGTACCAATGGAATGAGGGAATCCACTCAATCAAGCATAACGATTAATCCTGTGGATCATTTTGCCTAAATTACTTTCAGGTGCCAAAGCTTTAACTGTGAGTGCACATTACTTTCACCCGAGTCCTGAGATGTCCAAAACATCCCAAAACCTTAGCATGCTGCGATAAATGAGGGCAACAAAACATAAAATATTGAAGTACCAAAGTTGAACGATGAAGTAAGTTCAAACACAGAATATGTTTTTGTTATGAAAATTGACTGTTGAAGATTTGCAGGAACTTGGATTCAAGCTCACTGAGGACAAAGGGTTACTGACAGGTAGAAAATAATTGGATGTTGATAGGACATGGGAGAAAGAAAAATGTGGGTGATGATTTTGAATTGTGTGAGCATTTTTTATTTGTTAGTCTAACTGCTTGCTGTAGTTTCAACTAGCTTTAAATATGTTCTTGAATTTTATTTAACATATTTTCTTATATGCAAAAAAATTGTGCCGCATACAGCTGGGCCTCCATATACTATTCAGATTTTTAGTACTTTAAAAGCAAAACTAAGTTGATCATGTATGAGCGTTTATGTACCGAAAATCAGTTTTACTGTTTACTCTGTGTGCATGTTAAAAGGTTTTAGCTTTACTGTGAAAATTTCAGAAATGTGTTCATATTATTATTTTATTAGTTTCTTGGGAAAATTCTCCCAGGAACTTTTGGTAGTAATCCTCTCTGACAATCTTGCATCTATACAATCGACATGATGACGTTCTACTCGTGTGCAAAAGGCTGGATTTGTCCAGGCAAATTGATTAATGATGGAGATGGTAAGAGATGATTGAAGTTGAGATTTATACTATATGTATAGAAATATCAGTGGAGTGCAGCTCTGGTGTAAAGACAGGATAAGGATTGCAGTCTTGGAAAGTCTGAAGCTTTAGCTATGGTAGAGAACTTACTTTATAATCAATGATGGTGTCGAGGACTATTCTGTGATTGACTATAATGTATTCAAATGCCCAACAATCCTTTCTGATCTGAAATACTTCAACTTTTCAGCTTTAGATCTAAGTCTGGGGTTTCTCTCGTACTATAAAACGATACAATCAAAGTCCTCCTTTGTTTGATGATTGCTTTTGCCCTTTTCAATGTGAGAATAAGTGCTATGTGTTTTTAAATTGGGGCTCATTGTAAGGCAGGAAAGATACTGTTAGGAGACTGTTGCTGGAAATTCAGATGAGTGGATGTACAGAATTTAATGTCAACTGAAACCAGATTTGATCCAACAAAAACAGTTCTTGACAGGAAATTGCTTTGCCATTGAAGTATCAGGGCGAACAGACTAGCCTCACTTATTGTAGAAGAAAACAATTTATGGCTAAAACTGAATCTGCAACTGATTCTGATATTTGAGAAGAAGACAGGAAAAAACTTTGCCATTGAAGAACAGCAGTCAAACAGTGATCGGTGTGATGGGCCAAAGAAAATGAAGAAGCTTTGAGACCAAAGTTCTTGCAAATTGTGAGAAATCTTGACCCTTTCATATAATGCTACAATACTAACATTCTTGAATTGTAATTGTCTCATAATCGCTGTCTGACTTCCTCAATCCATCCTAATGTATATGGAGAGAGAATGTGTTTAATGTTTCCATTATTGGAAAAGCCACCAATGGTGTACTTTCATCACTCTAGCCCAGTGGTGGCACAGTGAGAACAACTTTCAAACTAAGCTTAAGATGTATAAATGAAAAGTTCCTTCTTTTAGGTTTAATGATTCTTCCTGAAATTCATTTCCTTTCTTCTCTTCCCCCACCAGACCCAGAAGAACTAACTTTAAAAGAGGGGAATAGGGCATTAGAGGAAGCCTGGATACACAGGTTCACAGATGCATAGGCTCAAATAATTCATAATGGTTGCCACTAATTTCATTTAATTTTATTAAGTTCAATCTGTATTTATTCAATTATTCAGTGAACTGTATTAATTATTGATTGGAATCAGTTGGCATTTTAAATCATAGTAAAAACC